TAACTACTATCGGATCTTCATCAAGAATTATTCTCAAGTTGCTACCCCCCTCACTCGGTTAATGTGCAAGGACAAGCTCGAATGGGGATCTATCGCAGAAAAAGCATTTCAAGATTTGAAGATGGTATTTACTACAGCTCCAATCTTGGTACATCCGGACTTTACAAAGGCCTTTTATTAGGAGACAGATGCTTCGGATTTTGCTTTGAGAGCTGTACTTTCACAGATGGGCGTAGATGAGAAGCTCCATCCAGTTGCATTCTATTCTCGAAAATTCTCTGCTGCTGAGATCAACTATGAGATCCACGATAAGGAACTCCTTGCTATAGTAGATTCTTTCCAAGAGTGGCGCCACTTTCTCGAAGGAACTGCACATCCAGTGACCGTATATACGGATCACAAGAATTTGGAGTATTTTATGTCGGCTCGGGTTTTGAATCGGCGTCAAGCTCGGTGGAGTATGTCACTATCCAAGTTCGACTTTGTTATTACTTATCGGCCTGGAAAGCAACAAGGGTTGTCCGATGCATTATCAAGGAGATCATATCTCGCGCCAAAGGCTAGAGATGCAGCATTTGATCAACAGTGCACGACATTGTTGAAGCCAGAGAAATTTTGGCTCAACGCAGCTATTGTACCAATTGATGCTGACTTCCTCGACCAAGTACGGGCCGCAACCATTGAAGATTCTCTAGCCCTTGATATCAAGCAACATGCTAGTGATGATAAATTCAAGATGGAAGGAGATCTAGTATATTTCAAAGAGCGGTTGTATATCCCAAAAGGGCCAACACGACTCCGAGTTCTTCAATCTCGTCATGACTTTCCAGCTGCGAGACATTTTGGATTCAATAAGACCTTGGAACTTATTTCCCGTGATTTTTGGTGGCCTCAAATGTGGAAGGATGTGAAAGATTTTGTTGTATCTTGTGACATTTGTTCAAGATCCAAAAACCCTCGACATCGGCCTTATGGACTTCTACAGCCATTGCCTATTCCGCGCCGACCATGGTCTTCGGTTTCCATGGACTTTATTACGGATCTACCACCATCGAATTCATTTGACAGCATTTTTGTTGTCGTAGACCGGCTTACAAAGATGGCGCATTTTGTCCCTTGCAAGAAGACATCGTCAAGCGAAGACACAGCAAGACTCTTTCTTGATAATGTGTATCGATATCATGGTCTACTAGATGATATCGTATCGGATCGAGGAACCCAGTTTGTGTCAAAGTTTTGGAAATCTCTTTTTGAGATATTGAAGGTGGATATCAAGCTTTCTTCGGCATTTCATCCTCAAACGGACGGCCAAACAGAACGGGTAAATCAAGTTGTAGAGCAATATTTACGTTGCACCATCAACTATCAACAAGATGATTGGGTCGCATATCTACCGCTAGCCGAGTTCGCATATAACAACACCCTTCATGCGTCCACTCAATAAACGCCATTCTTTTCTAATTATGGATACCATTCGAAGCTTGACTTATGGAGTTCGTCAACGATTAACAATCCGGCAGCTGAAGGATTGGTGAAGGAGCTTTCGCACCTTCAAACTACATTGAAGCTTCAATTGCAAACTGCCCAAGAATCTTACAAGACGTCCACGGACAAATTTCGGAATCAGGCACCTAAATTCACGATTGGAGACAAAGTTTGGCTGCTTCGACGAAATATTAAGACCAAGCGTCCATGTGACAAATTGGACTATCGGAGATTGGGACCATTTGTTATCCAGAAGCAGATCAATCCTGTAGCGTATCGTCTGGAGTTACCAGCTACTATGAAGGTACATCCTGTCTTTCATGTTTCTTTGTTGGAGCCTTATCGAGAATCGTCTTTTCTTGGAAGAGTACAATGTCCACCACCTAGCATAGAAATAGAGAACCACGAAGAATACGAGGTGGAAAAGGTCTTGGATTCACGGCAAAGACAGGGTAAATTAGAATACTTTGTGCATTGGAGCGGTTACGATATTAATGAACAAACATGGGAGCCGACCGAAAATCTCACGAATGCGCCGAAAAAGGTACAGGAGTTTTATCGACGATATCCTGAGAAACCCAAGCCAGTTCGACGATAGCTTCTTACTGAAGCTTACTCATCCAGAAAACAGAAAAGAGGAGAGAGCACCACCAAAATCCATAGTTGATGTAGTCATTCTCTCCAAGATAGCGTAGAACTTTGTTAGTAGCCCAAGTTTGTTCTTATTGTTTTAGCCTTTGAATATGGATAGCCAAGATACTACACTTGTGATGTCATCTCAAGCAACTAGCTCACAAAGACGACCGCGAGATGAAGAACCGCCTGCACCACCACGACATCGAAGGATTCCGAGCAACAGATCGCTGGTGATTGTATTTGAGGTCGAGCCTGCCTACAATGGTCAGCCAGAAGGAGTGTTTGCAGGACAATTTCACAATGAAGACACGGAGGTTCATGCTTGGTCAGAAGTTGAAGGCGTGGGCCACTACCGTTGGCTTCAAGGACCATTGAATCACTTGCCTCGTGAACAACAATTGGAGTTCATAGCAGAGGTTATGCGACAGATCTTCATTTTCTTGCGTTGGTATTGACTGACAATAACATTGCTTCTCGGAGACCTCGAAGTTAAAGGAAGAGGTGATGTTAGGGACATAGTCCTTAGACCTTTCTAGAGACAAGTTTCTAGAACCTTCTAGAAAGAAGTCTCTAGAAACTTCCAGAAGATTCCTTGAATATTTTCTTGGAATATTCTTCAAAGATTCCCTAAAGATTCCCTTAAGGCTCTAGAAGATTCTTAGAATATTCTAGTAGATTCTAGGAAGTTACTTAAGAAGCTTCCTTGCTCTTGGGTAGTTGCTCGAGAAGCTTCATAGTTCTTGGGAAGCTTCTTGATGCGCTCCCTTAGAACCATAGGCCAGTAGTATATATAGGAGTTGAGGCTGAAGAGTTCTTCAGTCTCGACAATGCATCTCTTGAAGCTCTAGCTCAATTCTCTTGGCGTTGCTCTTGTACTCATCTGAAAATCTAGTTCTTGTCATTTTTTCTTGAACTTCTTGTTTAGATTTCTTGTTTGTATTTTTGGTCCGTGACACTTTTACTATTAATACAATGGTTATTTGCATAATTTCTTAAAGCAATCGACCTTGAGAATAATACAACTTTTATTATGATTGTAATACCAACTTTAATATGCATCCAAAAAACTTTACCAAAAATTGAAAAAACTTGACTATCTATTTACTTATTCAAATTAATAAACAAGCAAATAAATAACATACAAGTAATTCTTTGAAATTTCTTAAATTAATGATAGTAAAATGAACTTTTTTTGTACTTAATTAATTTTTTTATTTTATTTTTATTTAAAATAAATATAATGTATATTTATTTGTCTTTACTACCTAAATTATTTTTTATTTTATTTCAAAATTTATATAATAGCAAAAATAATATTAAGAATAAAGTTTGTTATTTAAACATTTTTGCATCTCCAAGTCCTACAAAATTAATTAAAAAAAAATAAAATTTTAAAATGTAAGAATTATAAAATAATTATTTATTATATGTTATTAGCTAATTATTTCTATTTTTATCTAATACCAAAAATATATTATATTTTAAATATTATTTAAAATTAAAAAATATATAATTTTAACATTTTAAAACAAATACACAATAAGAATCTATGGTTTCTTAATTATAATATTCTACTAATCTATTTAAAGATTAAATTTTGGATTGAAACAATAAGAATATTATTAAATGTGTAGATATTAAAACTTATGTTATAACTAATACATATTTAATGATTGCATAATTGTATTTGAAGAAACTGAATTTTTTCTTAATGTCTTTGAACTGAAGCAAAGATTAATTTAAATTATGCTTGGATATAAAATGTAGAAAATTTGATGTTCTAAATTTTAGTTTAATAAATAGATTTTCAAATCAACACATAATTTTTTAAAAATGAAATCAAATGCTATTATGATGGAATTTTGTTTTGTGGAAAGATTTTAACTGTACATGGATAAATATTAGATGTAAAATATCCATTTTAAAAGTACTGATTAATTGATTTTTGTTATCATTTTCATGGCCATGGTTGATAAAGATTTGACATATTTTCAAACAAGTATGAAGGATAACAAATAACATGTCTAATTTTTATAAAACAAAATAAAATTATACACAAGATTAAAGCTATCACGGCATACAATTCTGTTACTTGTAAATTTATATCAAATGCACGAAAAATGGCTTAAATTAAAATAAAATAATAGTTCTTAATGTATTTACCTTAATTTGTGTTTGGCTTGAATGATACTTTCAATTATTGAATGGCATTCAAATCAAAGACTTGAATTAGTCTATCAAGATGTAATATTCCACACAATACAAAATTTCACAACAAATTATTATCAAAGTTAGTGAACCAAGTCATGTGCATTGAGATTCATTCTTGTATTTAAAATTTTTATACATCAATAGCTTGTTTTAAACATATTACTCCCAAAAATGTATTACTTGTAGAACAAATCATGAAACCCCAACGCTTATATAGGCATGGTTGAATTATCATTAGTAAATCATGAAACCCATAAACACAAAAAGACGACTTTTTGACTAAAATTCATAGTTAGGAAATTGTACCACGAAATTCTCATTCTTTTCCCAATTTTGCAACATTTTAGTCATTTCCAAGAAATGAGTTTGAGTTGACCGCATTCTCCACGTCAAGTTAAACAAGAGCTGTCCACTAATCGCATAGGTTCTCAATCAAATGGGAAGCCACGGTGGCAGCCACGTCAGCCAAATAGGCAAGCAACGATGGACCCAGGCACGGCGTCGTGGGAGTATGTGGCAGCCAGCTCAGCATCGCCAGATTCCCGCCCTTTCAAGTTGCCGCGCGGATCGAAGCTCGGCCGGGCGGTGAGACCACATCCAGATCCATCGATCAATCACAATTTGGTCTGTGATTGATAGCTTGCTTGCTTGCGTGCTGAATTGCAGCCATGGCGTCGTGTGCTCTGCTCCTGCCCACCACGCTTGCGCCCACCGCCCTCCCTGCTCCCTGCTCCTCCGCTCCTACCCACGTCGCGGATGGCGCCCGCGCTGCCGGTGCTCGCCTGCTCGTGTCGTCGCGCGGTGCTGCTGTGAGGCCCAGTGGACGCTTGGAGACACTTGCGTCGATGGGCCGATTCAGGGTGGCGAGGACGGACGAGCGGTGGAGAGTGCGAGTGGTGTGCGCAATGGCTGTGGACTTGGGGGGATCGAGGTCGAGCGAGGGAGCGGGGAAGGTGGAGGCGGGGACGCGGATACGGGTGATTGGACCTTTGAAGGTGTACCATGTGCCCAAGCATCCGGAATTGGACATCGTTGGGCTGGAAGGGGAGGTGAAGGAGGTGGTGACGACGTTCAAGGGCAAGCCGGTGTCGGCGACGCTCCCGTTTAAGGTGCAGCTGATGACGCCGGGCGAGGAGAGCCGGAAGTTCGTGGTGCATTTGAAGGAAGGCGAATTGGAGGTTGTGGAGTGAGATTGGGTGCGAGGGAGGAGGTGTGCTACCTCCTGGTTAGGTCTAATGTAGGCTAGCTATCGAAGAGAGAGAGAGAGAGAGAGAGAGAGAGAGAGCGAGATAGAGAGAGCGCAATGCGAGAGAGGTCGCCGCGTCGCTGGTGGAAATGGATGTTGCCCCATGGTTTTGTGAGTTGAGCATGGCAGAGCGGAATTGATGTTGTTGGTGGGGGTGCAGCAGGCGGTGTAGGATAGATCGATGGCGACAGGAGGGAGGTGGGAAGCGATCGGGTGTGCGTGGCACACCAGCTTGTACTTTGGTGCGACGAAGCGTAGATGTGTGGCACAGTGGCGGGTGCAATGGAATTTGTGGGAATTGTGTACAGTAAGAGAAGAAGGAGACGGTGGCTGCTGCACACTTGCGATGGAGGTTGGTGAGAGGAGGGAGGAAGAATGAGAATGGAGGAGGTGGGAGGATGTAGTGGGAGCAGGTGGTTGGAAATAGGGTGGTGCACTGTGATTGCCTGGCCTCATAGCAGCAGGTTGTGGGGTCAGCTTTGCACGTCATGATTGGGAGTGATGAGGGGAATGACGTTTTCCGTAGGAAAAAGAAATGGCAACGTGAAGCGATGATCTGATTTTCGTGATATACCAGACCAAGGGTGTTGTAATTGGTGACATATGCTGGTAGAGTTGTTGACACGCATACTGTGTGCGCAGTTTCATGGGAATCAGGGTGCTTTCTGTTTGTAGCCATTTCTGCTGTGAGCATTAGCGCACACAAACTTTAAATACCTGATTCCCGCATCCGCCTTTTCATCCACATTTACTTTCACAGATCGTCATTCGGTTTTGAAACATTTTCCATCACTGTTTGCCCGAGTGCAACCGCCTTCGTTTCATTCTTTGCTTGCACTGCACTTCTGTGCACACTGGTTCGTCAGGTGTTTGCAACCAGTTTTGAGACCGCCCGAGGAGGAATCACAAGTGAGAGTCATAGATGGATTGCTCGTCATCTCAATAGATTGTAATCACGGACATCTAGAATGCAGATTCTTCAATTGCTCCCTAGGACTGTATGCTTCTGTGATCACGACTTCCATAATTTTACAGTAGCTTGACTGGTTCTTCTTTCTCCTGAATCTTGATTGATCGAATTTTCTCAATTCGCGGCTTCGCTGCAGCTTGAATGGTACCAAGTAATTACTATTAGATCTTCGACAGTAGAAGGGACGAAGTCCGGTTTAGCGCAGCTTTGGGTTACTCGGCCTCACGAGCCCCTTACTCAAGTTTGAAGCTATTCTTTCGAGCATGTCTTCTATTTCATTTTTGATTTACAGAGAAGAGCGCGCATGTGGAGAAGTTCTTGTTCATGTGAAATGTCAATCTTTAGGTCAACTCTGAGGCTGGAACCCTTTATCCATCTCCCACTGAGAACCTCAAAATGAGCAAGATGTTTCTTTATCTGAGCAAGAAGATTAGTATGCCCAATGGGCTTAAAGTGAGCAGCTTATCATGGAACTCAGAACAAGGGTGGCTCGCATGCGGAGGCGAGACTGGCCTTCTCAAGGCATGACAAACCTAATGCTTCTCTCATCCTATTTGCTCATGTCTGGTGACTGAGCAACGAAAATTGAATACGTGGGATCTTACTTAAATGGGTACCATGTTATATGTATTAGGTTTAAATTCGAATTTAATCTCGATCTAAGGCCCAGCTTAAATTGCAGGTGCTAAAGTTGGAACCGAGAGCACCAAATGAAGGCAAGAGGTCGCCTTTGGTTGCAGCTCCATCGAACTTATCGATGAACCAAACTCTAGAAGGGCATCATGGCACCGTGGTTGCCGTCAACTGGAACCAGAACTACCGCAAGCTTACCTCTAGTGATGAAAAAGGCCTCATCATTGTGTGGGTGTTACACAAGGTATCTTCTCACTGAATCTTGCAGTCGATGTCTGTCACTTGTCTGCAAATAGAGTTTGGCCATCACACATATCTCAGCACTCCTAAGATTTATCATCTTGTGTTGCAAGTCAATTAATACTTTCGGGAGGTTCCTTCAAATCGGGTTTCTGTGCAATTTTGTATGGGTAGTGGTGCATTGCTATTGGCAGGAACCAACTGCCACAGGTGAGAAATCGAGCATTCGAAAGACTTGGATACTAAAAATATGTGTCGTCCCCGAGTGTGTGCGCAGGGGATGTGGTTTGAAGAAATGATCAATGACAGAGACAAGAGTGTGGTCCGTGACATACGGTGGTCACCAGACGGACAAAAAATCTGTATTGTGTATGAGGATGGGCATGTCGTCCTGGGAAATGTTGATGGCAATCGGTTGTGGGGAAGGACTCTAGATGTTCAACTCCTGTTGATCGAGTGGTCTCCAGATTCCCGGCTTATCCTGCTTTGTACCTCACTGGTAAACGATTTTTCATTAACGTCTTTATAGAATCGGCTGAAATCCAAGCAACATCTTTCAGTTAACAATCTCTTCTCTAATATCCAAAGGTTCTGTGCAGTGCACATGTCAAATCCATGACTTGAAAGGCAATTTTGTTGCTCAAGTGGGCATAAAATTTATGGAAAGAGAATTTGCACCTGCAGCTGTTATTGTTGCAATTGATTGGTACAATGGTCTCGAGGGTTATAGTGACCCTAATGCTCCCAGCTTGGCTTTAGCTTTTCAGCTCGGAAAGATTCAGGTATAATATGTGCACGGAATTCAACTGGGTACGTCATTATAGTTAGAGTCCACCGATTTTATAGCTCGATGCATTTTATGCTAAATCCGAATGAGACTATTGCGTGAGATGTCTCACAAAAACTATTTTCCATCGTAAATTACTAGTTTAGTACCTGGCTCTTACTGTGATGTTTCCTCCTTGGTATGATTCAGCTGATGAGGCACGAAATGGATGAAGAGCCTATTCTGCTCGAGTTGCAGATGACGATCACTTGCATCAAGTGGAGTCCAGATGGTGATGTTCTTGGGGTTGTGGGATCAGATGTTTCAACGAATGTAAAAGCCCCAAGCTCCATCGTCCAGCTTTTCTCCCACACCGGCGTGCATCTGCGAACTCTGAGAGTACCCGGAGCAAGAACGAGGTATTCAGGAATTTTCTGTCGTTTTACTACGCTTCTAGCTTCTACCATGATGCGCTACTACTTGTTGCACACGATAGTATTACATGCTTCTGTATCCTTGTGCAAAACCCTATTAACTGCAGCTTATCAAAATGACAGTGCTTTATCTTGGGAAGGAGGTGGGTTGAGGCTTGCTCTTGCGGTGGATTCTTACATCTACTTAGCAAACATCCGACTAGAATACAAGTGGGCGTTCTTTGGGAGCAGCACATGTGTATATGGCTTTAAGAAAAAAGACCATTCAGACCACTCTGTCATGTTTTGGGATATTGTCACTGGCGAAAGGTATTGCACTTCCTTGACGAGTAATGTTATTTCTCCCACTTGTATTCCAGTCGAATTCTACGCTCCGTAAGATGTATTTGCGTCATACATTTTCATGCATGATATATTGCAAGCCTGCTTTTTTACAAAGTCAATAGCTATCTATAAGTTTGTAGGATTAGAGTTCCTCGTTTGACTTTGAGAGTAATTTAATAAAAGTTCGAAAGCTTCATCATATGCCGCCTCAACTTACGGAAAGCAACATTAGTGGATTGAGTGAAGGTTGAATAAAATGGAATAAGTGGAGGTTAGCCAACATGTTCTCATTTTCGTGAACATCTAAAGAGTAATCGCAACTTCACGGATGTTATGTGCAACATAATTTCGCTACTTGATAATTCCAGGTATTGCAAGTGTGTGAACCATTTGATCGCAGTCTGCGCAGCTAGCGAGTTTTGTGTTCTTGCCACACTGGTACATTAGTTGCACCGAACCGTAGCAGCAAGTTAAAGTGAATTTAATACCAAGCTTATAATTCCAATGATTACACATGCATGAGCAATGGAAGAGAGGTACTTCACAATTTATGTAAATCCACTTCCTCTCATTTACTCTCTGGATCATCTCACGTTCGATATTTCGATTCCACAGGGGGAGGAACCAGATCAGTATGTCTTAATTCTTTGCAATGCAATTGGTAACCCAGTTGACTCGAAGTATGTCAAGACGCAGCCGCTTCATGTGGCTATGAATTTAGTAAGCAACCCATATCTGCATTTTGTTGCTGCTAGCATTTGGGGATTAAAAGACATGCCTGATCGTGCAGTAGTAGATATAGAGCAAAGTTCAGTTCAATGCGTTTAAACTATTTGATTCAAGGAACGAATGAGCCAATAAAGTTTTGTGGGGTGTGGGGAAGGTGGAGAGCAGGGGAAGCTTAGAATGCATGCTAGCGCTGAGAAACTTCGATTATACGTTAAAGAAATTACCCCCTGATCACCACTTCAGAATTTTGTGTTTGTAGCCTCAGAGTTTCATGTGTATATGTGGAAGTACAGCCCCAAATCGTCTTCCTTCAACACAGGGGAATCAGAAAAGATGCAAGATACTAATGGGGTCGCATCGCAAGAAAGCACTTTCCATATTGATGAAGAATTCTTTCAAAAATCTGGGAAGGTAGTAAAAAATGTTTACCATCACATACGCTATGGGTGTCTGGATGAATCACATGAACATATTAGCTAGCGTTGAGCAGTCCAGAATCTGCAATATTTCACGTTTGGTTTACGTATTCAAGAATCTGGAGATAGGTCTTACTCGATTTATGACTCAATTCATTGTTCCGACCATGTAGGGCATGAGGGCGGACGATTCTGCAATTGCTAGCACGGACAAAATTTGTTGCATGTGCTGCTCTGACAAATTTCTCATGGTGGGTCGTGAATTTGGAGTTTTGCACTGTTACGACATTGTTGGGTTGCGACAAGAAGGGAAAGAAACTCTTCACTGTCGACCTCATGGTATCCTCCTGCTTTATGTTCGAATATGCAGATGTTTTGCTCCGTATGGATGTCTGGAAGATAATTATTAGTACTAGGATCTTTACACTACATGTTTTGGCTCTAGAGCATCCAGTTTAACTAACACTGAGGTGAGGACTTTCTGCATGCAGCTATAGAGCTGAATTGCGACTCCACGCGCCTTTCGGTTATCGATGTGAGCGGAATGCTTTATTTGTATGAGGTTCAGAGACAACCTCATGGAGTGAAAGAGGTGCTCGGTGTTGATTAGTTTTGCTATTCGAAATTCTGTTCTGAAGCTCTCAAAGCAGCTCATGCGTGTTGCATATTCCTACCGTTTATGATTGCCGTTTTGTGTGTGCTTGCAGAAACAAGGTACTGCTGTGAGACTTACCAATAAGGTCCCGAACTTCGAGCGGAAAGATGTATGGAATATCAAATGGGCAGATGATAATCCAAACTTACTGGCTGTCATGGAGAAAGCTCGTATGTACATCCTGCGAGGCACTGAACCAGAGGAGCCTGTTGCGTGCACTGCCTACTTGTGTAGCTTCCACGATCTTCAGGTTCATTTTTGCAATCCTTATGTTGCTTGTTCTCGCGTTTCAACTTTTATTTGATGTTGTGTATTTCCCAAAGTTCATGGTACTTTTTGTAATTCTGAAATTTAGGTTTTTGCATGCGCAGCATCCAGTTGTTGGGCTTATTTACGATCTAACCAATTGTCTCTATTCATCACAGATACAAGCCATCCACCTTGATGACGTGATGCATCAACCTGAGGATCCCAGCATGGAGCATGTATTCAATTATGAAACCAAGACATTACGGGATACACAACAGATGCTTTCAGCTGTTGACATTCAAGATGCTTATTCCTACGTAGAAGAGCACTCTCATCCTCGGCTTTGGATTTCTTTGGCAAACCATGCTCTCGAGACACTGGACCTTTCTTATGCTGAAAAGGTTGGTTTTATATTGATTACTCTCTTTTGAGCCTTTACCCTTTCTTGGAAAACGCTCTAAGGATGTCAGGATAGTTTCTAAAACAATTGCCTAAGCGTCGATTGCGTAACCATGCTTGTTACACTGATACACATGCTTGCCTGTAGTTATACAGTGTGTGTTCGAGACAGGATCTTCATTTCAAATTTTTGTGTGTTAAGGAGACGCTATATTCTGAGTATTACTTGTATTCTCCACAATTTTTGTCTATAGGCATTCGTGAGATGCCAGAATTACCATGGCGTTCGCTTCGTTAAAAGTCTCCATGCATTGAAAAACAAATCCACACAAAAAGCAGAGGTTAGCGAACTCTTCACTTCCATAGTACTACAGTATGCTTCATAATTTCAGGGGTGATCTAAACTTCTTCTTCATTTATTTTTTGTTGCAGTTCATTGGATGAAATGTAGCACAAAATCTTCCCTCAATGCCTTTTTATCAACAACCATGCACTGAACACTTGAACGCTAAAGTTGAGCACTTGCCTATGATGTTGATAGATTTGTGTGTACTTCAAGAGAGACAAAGAAGCCGAACAAATATATTACAGTATGGACAGGAAAGACCTTGTTGTTGATATGCGCATGAAATTAGGAGACTGGATCATGTAAGTTTTTGGAATTGGGTGCACTGTGGCCTGAACTTTCTATTCAAGTATACCTGTATTTAAAAGAAACTGAGTTTCGAAAACTCGACTGGTGATGTAAACTTGGATGTTCACATACAGGCTAGAGAAATTGCTGGAGGGAGGTGGTGGCAACGACTCTCTGCTGGAGCTCACGTGGAATAATATTGGCGATTATCATGCAGATAGGCAGAGTTGGGACAAAGCAGCTGTGTATTACTACAAATCCAAAAACTGCGAGAAACTGGCGGAATGCTTGTATGCACTGGGCGACTGGGATGCTCTTGGAGCTTTGCTGGAGTCTCTTCATCAAGGCTCTACTCTGTTCTTGTCCTTGGCCAAGAAGTTTGCTAATGTTGGCATCTGCAAGCATGCAGTAAGCACACTTAATTAAGTCTTAATTTAGCATGATTTAATTAATTACGATTTGTTGCTGAATACCACATTAGACAATGCTAGAATCACTGAAACAGATCTACTTGGAGACACTATAGGTCACAGCTTTTGTGGAAGGGAAGAACATAAAAGCAGCAATTGATGCTAGTATGGATCTCAACCACTGGGACGTAGCCATGAACTTGGCTATGAAGCACGACGAACTGCAGTATGTGGAAAGCGCGATTGCAAAATATACTATGTTTTTAATAGATTCAGGGAATCCTTTGCAAGCCGTCCAAGTCCATATTGATGGAGGTCAACAGCTGGAAGCAGCTAAGATATTAGTTCGACTTGCTTGCCAGATGGCCACTATCAAGGTGACATCAACCCATTTTCGACATGATCATCCTTTAAAATGCTGGAATATAGTAATCTTGTTCTTTAGTCATCGACAGATGCAGTTGTCACATTAGTTTTGGATCATGGAAATAGAATTTTGATGATGTTTTTTTTGAATAACCCAAATATCTAATTCTAAAAATCTAATTTAATGGCAGGCTAGTCCATTGATGGTGAAGAAACTGTATGTGCTAGCTGCATTCCAAGCAGATGCCAGTCGTGCTTCTTTCGATACCAAACAAGTTATCATCCACTCTATTTTCTTCCTTATTAACTTAGTTCTTCATGTATTAGATTGAATGAAGTCTCTGGATTTAATCTTCTGAGTCATATTTTGTTTCGTAGCAATTTTACTGTCTTTGTTCATCGTGCTCCCGATGAAGCGCATATTTGACGAATGACGAAAGATTTGTTTGATCACTGTGTAAGTTTTTTGTGGCGCCTTTGCAGCACGATGCATCTTCATCTTTGAATAGTTTTTTCGAGGATGCGTGGCATGGAGCGGAGGCGTATCATTTCTGGCTATTAGCTCATCGTGAATTGTATGCTAGCCATTATGACCAGGCCATGAAGGTCCATATTCGTGCTCATAAGACATTTGTGTATTTCAAACCTTCGGTCATATGTTGTCAAATCTAAATCTGTCGAATTGTTTGCATAGTTAAAAGATTCTCAAGAAGTGTTCTTTCACTATCTTTGCGGAAAAGATGCTCAGGATTAGTTGTTGATGGTGTTATATTTTCACAACCCAAATGTGACTGTTCGAGGCAGGTTTCATTGTGGCTCCGGAACTATGAAGACATTTTAGATGTTATAGATATATATTCTTTAATTGCTCTTACATCCTTCTTAAACAAGGTTAGTCAGCAATTCTAACAATCTAAAAAGTGAATTTTGTGTTTGATGCATTGTGTTTCTTGTTTCATGTTTAGCAGATTTAGAGAGTCTCAAAATGTATGTTTTCCAATGAAAAGTTGCTTGAACAATCCCCTTCATTTTTCGCAATTGTTGTACCACAGCATTACGCACATTGCAGTAAAGCTGTTTCAAAGTTGGAGTCTCTGTCACACATTTCTGAGAAGCAAAAAAACATGTATTCACAGTTGGCACTTTCAATCTTCACACGCTTCAACCCAATCAATCCTCATAGAACAATCACACAATGTTGCAAAAACTGCAATACTCCCATACAGGTAATTTCTTTTGAAGAGTTGTCATTGCAATGAGTAACTGTAAGTGTGAATTTTATAAAATTTACGCAAATGAATCCTTTAGGTTTACTTTATCTGTTGTTTATATTTACATGTGAAACTGGACTGGTTTATGACTAATAAATATGCATTGTAGGAATTACAAACTAAATGTTCATCACCAACTTGTAAGATCACTTTTCCTATTTGCATGACTACTGGGAACGTCATCGTTGACGAATCCAATCTACAGTGCAGTACATGTAAACATTATAGAATTGTTTCTAAACTAAAACAATGTAAATATTGTCCTTTATGTCATAGTCCTTCAGAACATGCAAACATCCTATCAATATGAAATTTTAATTGTTGTTATGTAAATTATTTTTTAAATATTTATTTGGTTGTAAGAAAATATTTCCATATTATCTTTTGGAAAGTATTCACATGTACAAATATTTTGAAGGTAAAGAAAAGTTAAAGAAAACTTAATACAATGTATAACAATCTATAAAAATTATTAATAGAACCTCTATTTTTTATATATTTTATTTACTTATTTTTAAAAAAAAATTATTAAAATTAAAACATAGATTTCTATTTCTGTGATACCTAGGTTGCTACATAAGTATTGCAAGTGTGCACCTATTCCTATGAAAGATTAAAAAAAAATTCAAAATTCAAAGATAAAAATTACCTAATAATTTTTTGATATGTATGAAATTTTTATAATGTTGATTATCCTATTAATAATACTAAAAAATTAAGCAATTTTATAATTGTACTTAATAATAATTAATGGCACATAAAGAAATGTTAGAAAAATCAAATTAATGATAATAAAAAAAATGTAAATAAACAAGAGAAGAACAACATCGTACCCCCATAAAATCTACTTAAGAAAAATATAATTCAAGAAAAGAAGAAAAATATCTTATAATTTTTTAGAGTATTAATGGAAGAATACAAAGTTGTTATAGTGTTGTAACAAGGCTATTAGGTGAAAGAAAAAAAATTGACAATTATACTATAGAATAGCTTAATTATAAACTGTATTAGTAAATTATTTTTAAAAAACTAGATAAAAAATAAAGAGGTATGAAAAAATTAGTATTATTTTTTTTTAATAAAAATATTTCTATTTATTTGTAGGGCCATAAACAAGCTAAAAGATGGTAAATTAGAAAAAATAATATAATAAATTAATTAGGCATCTTCAAATAAAAGTAAAAAGTAGCTTTCAACAAAAATTACCCAAAAAATCTTTAGATTGATACCCAAAGATGACCGATTGTGAACCATGGTTGAAACCAAATTCTAAGACATAAAACTATATGCCTATAGCAACTGTATTTGATTTTTTGTTGATTGGAGAAATAAGTTCGAGATTAGACTTGGTAAGATTTCTTTGAGTATTGGTTTGGGAGAATGAGAGTGGATAATAACTTTGTGACAGCTTTGTAAAGTCAAGGTTGTTTTGGATGACTATGAGTTTTTGTGAAATAAAGAAAATTTTATATTTTAGAAAATTGTATGATTTTTTATAGCATATTCATGCATGAAAATTTGTGGGTTTGTAAAAATAGTTGTGTTAAATGTATGTTGTAAACTTGAGCTTAATTAAACAATAAGAGTAGAGGTTATTGAATTTTAAGTAGGGTTAGGATCTCAAAAATTGGATTTTGTAAATCAATGAGAGTTTCTATGATTTTGAGCAATTTGCTAATTGGATTGAAATGATTTGTTCGTGAGCTAATAGTTGATGTAGATTCTAAGATCTCTACAAATTTTTAAAGGAAGTAAATGGTGCAAAAAGAAGTTATTGATGTGGGAAGATTAACATCAAAGTTGGAGAAGGAGGATGGCCTACATTTGAATAGATTAGGAGTTATTTCTCCCAATTTGTAAGTTTGGTTATCTCCAAATTTTGTGTCCTTATTGTTAATTACTAGATTGACAAGTGTGCAAATTTTGAATCAAGATCAATGGCTTAAATATTTATTATTGATGTTTTAAATCTACTATAGGATCTAATTAAGGTTTAATTTGAGTTTTATAAGAATTTACTTAGAATTTGATTAAAAATTATTAGGATTTGATTAGGATTTTATTAAAGTTTCATTAGAATTTATTAGGCTTTACTTAGAATTTCTTTAAGATTTCTTTAGGATTTTTGTGAAGTTATCTTATGATTTCTTTAGAGGTTTTTTTTAAAGATTTCTTTAGGATTTGATTAAGATTGTTAAGGTCCAATTGGAGTTTATAGAGGATTTTATTAGAGCTATTAATTCTTATTTAGTTGCAAAATACAACTTTAACATTGCACTCACTCTTAACTTCAAAATGTTACTTCTTAAAAAACAGTAACATCAATTCTTTCACTCTAGTTCTAGCTTCAACATTATTAACTAGAGTAACAATTCAAATCAAATCTATTTCAACAAAGGAAGCGCCATTGCTCTCAATCTATCACACAGTTTTTGTATTGAGCCAAATTAGTAGTTTTAGGGGAGGTTTACTGGACCACGCCTCATGACTTCTACAGCAAGCGTAGAACTTGTGAGCGTTTTTGGGTTTTTTGAGAGGATTTAGCCTTCAGGAGACAATATGGGTTCATGCATAATTCTGTATTTGGTTAATTTGTGTGTGTGGGCGTGAGAATGAAAACATGACCTGTGTGTTGTGATGCTCTTGTCTGTGGACATGAATTGTGGTTTAGGATTAGGACCGAGTTTATGGGCATGAGTTGGATTGTGGGTATTTTTTTTCTCTTCTTTTCTGGTGGAGAATTCTACTTTGAGTGTTGAAACTGCCCATAGTTTTCTCCGAGGGTGGCATCCTTTCTGGGGTGTGTCCGTTGGTGAGACTAATTTGTTCGTTGCTCGTGAATCTGTTGAACCAGCTGGATTTGAGAACGGTACTGATTTGAGCATTTGTTGACTAGTTGGTAGGTGATCAAATCCATCTTTCTGTTCTTCTCATCGAAGCCATGGCTTAAATTCAGAGCGGAAGCTAATGCAGTGGATTACGTGGTTTTTGTGGCAGCTAATCACTAACTGATTAAGGAGGCGATGAAGAGGATCGTGAGGTTAGGACCAAAAATCCTGCTTGCCTAAGTGGATTAGGGTTTTCCAGGGGTTGAATTAGGGTTGAACTCATTTCGAGCTGGCGTTTGATGTGGTTTTAAAAGTTTTTCCCACCGTTTTCTATTCTTGAGTGGTGTTGAACGAAATTACCCAATGACTTCAGGACTAGGAGAAATGGCTACAGTCTCTGAAAAAGAATGGACGGGTTTCCAAGGTTTACCTGCTGCTACACAAATCATTCTTCATACCCTTCTCGCCAAGCTTCGAAAACAAGTAGGGTTCCTTGCTGTTTTCCGTTCGTCCAATTAAGCTGTTTAATTCAAATCACATCTCCGCCATTGCCTTATGATGAACTTTAGATTCCAGTCCGACACAACTTTAATCCTTCAATTCTTTTCACTGGGTTATGTGTGAACAATTGCCAATGTCGTAAATGAATGTGCTTCACACAGAAAGTGGACAAAATTACGATAGTGCTTCTGGGAAAAGGGGGAGTAGGCAAGAGCTCAATCGTTAATTCCTTATTCAGCGAACGGGTGGCTGCCGTCAGTGCTTTTCGGGTAAATCTCTAAAATTTAGTGTTTTATTTTTGTATTATATTGTCGTTTTTTTGAACGTTTCAGGGTGTCTGTAATTTTTATTTATTTATTTATATTTTTGTTAATTTTAAAATGGTTTCATTTTTCAACTCGCCGTCAAATATTTCTCTTGAGGATTATTCTGACATTGAGTACAAATTCATGGAATCATGCTGCAGTCGGAAACCTTGAGACCTCGCCAGTACTCACGTTCAAAAGATGGCTTCAAGCTCACCGTCATCGACACTCCAGGCTTCGTTGAAGCAGGTCGCGTCGATGCTGCTTTGAACAGCATTAGAAGGTACTCCAGCGATTACATTGGCACCATACAACTGGATTCACATGCGATCAAGGATGTTAAACGGTGTAATCCTATGAGAGGGGTTTGGTTGCAGGTACTTATTGGGGAAAACCATCAATGTGGTGCTCTATGTGGACCGTCTGGATGGACCGCGGGAGGACAAAGTAGACGTAAAGATTTCCAGGGCCATTTCACAAGCCTTTGGCCCTCAAATATGGCCTCATGTGATCGTTGTTTTCACTCATGCGGAGATCCATCTGGAGGATGTGACCTATTCTGAATTTGTTTCGAGACGGTCAGCTGCTTTACGGAACATCATTCTGAAAGAATCTCGCTTCAAAACGGTGAACACGAAAGTGAGTGAATAATAAACCAGTTAAACGTTGCAGCTGCATCCAAGAAGTGCTTTATTAGTGAAAGAAAATTTCTTATAAGATTTTATCCTTCGTGTAGGTTCCTTTTGTGTTGGTAGAGAATTGCAGTCGTTGTTCCGAAAACGGTGAACATGAAAAGGTATGTTGCGAATTGTTTTGCACTCATTCTCTTAAACCTCTACCCACTCACTTTTACTTGCATAGTAAATTTTCTCCTAGTGGCTTTGTGTTCCTAGAGATACAACCCTACACTTCATTTACTGCCACTAAAATATGCCTTATGCCATTAATTCTCCTATTTTTCCTTCTTTCTTGGAGTTCCTCAAGATTGTATCTCACCCTACGCTGACTTCATACAATCTTGTTTGGAGAACTCTATATATTATGCACACGTAATAAATGAAAAGAAAAATCTGCTACTCCACAGCAAGTTTTGGAATACTAAGATGGTTTTAGTGTTTAGTTGTGCAGCTGACCTTACGCGAATTTACTTGAGCAGTGTTAATTTGGCAACTGATCTTCTGACTGTTAATGTACGTCTGGATATAGATCCTCCCCGACGGTACGGTGTGGCTACCCGTACTCTTTGAGGCATTGGTTGACCTCGTCTTGGGCTCTAAAAAACCGATACTGATAGATGAAAAAATGATAGGGATCTCGAAAGGCAATCCACTGGGGAGCATTTGGATGCCGTTGGTCCTCCTGGCTCAAGTAAGTTTTTGCTACTCTGTACCTTTTTTTTTTTTTTTTTCTTTTTCTTTTTTTTTTCTCTCTTTTATTGAAACCTGTAGACGTGAGGACACGTACAAAGCAATAATGCACACTTTTAGTACAATGTAAGCACTGTGCCCCATTTCTTAGTCCAATTCGGTACGACTTTTCAAGGCTTGATGAAGTCTTCAATGCAATGTAATTGGTCGTGTATGATTTGCAGTTCGTCTTGATTTGGAGGCCTATAAGAAAAGCGATCGACAGAGATCTTGTAGAAGAGGCTCAACGCCATTCCCCTTAGGTGTTGCAAGTGGAACACCCTTGTGAGGAGACAACATTTTCAGGTAGAAATACGAGTTGAAGCAACACAATTCAGTTTGTACGGTTTTAATTTACGCTGCTGGATCAAGTAATAGGTAATCTCATTGTGGCCCACAAAATACGATGGGGCAGAACAGCTTGCAAGAAAGGTAGAAGCATTGAAACGATCTGCTACAGGTATCATGTAAATCTAGTCTATGAAGCTGGTAACCCTGTGTCTAGGACTTGAGAAGCTTAGAAGTTTGCTGCTGAACATCTTTCCAGGCAGCATAAATTTTCTGCAATTCCTTGAGAGCTTCATTGTACTTTGTACACACCTACCAGGATCGCCATATGAATGCCAATATGAGATTGAAAGTTATCATAAAATTTGGAGATTTCGAAATAGAATTGACTGTATTCTTCTGGAGACAACAATGCAAACATGAATCAGCTGAGGGGCTGCAAATTGTGCGTGATCATGATGTCTCCACTGGTGATAAGACTTCCACAAGCTTTGCGTTGAGGGTGTAGCCGTTGTCTTGATTACCAACCGTGAAGGTCAGTGAATCCTATGTCATGATCTCAAATCAAGTATTGTTTCGCAGACGCATTTCTAAATCGTTTGTCTGGTCTCAATGCTGTTGGATGCAGAACTGCTAGAGCTCCACCATGCATACGCATCAGCATCCGCAGCATCAAAGCCCTGCATGTTACAGCAAAAAAAAACTACAAAGAATTTATGTAAAATTGATTCTCACTACCAGTCGTGACCAACACGCCAGTAGATCACAGGCTTGGTAGTGATAAGTTTTGCACCTGAAACATGGGGCTCATAGCAATCTGCCTACCTCCAAAATCATCCACCAAATTTTCATGACTTGGTTATTTGTGCAAATACTTTCTGCATAAATGCCAACCAATTGAAGTTGAAGAACTAAATGTGGGGATTCATTTCTGATGGATGTGTCCTCTGAGGTCTATTAAAGCATGGTATTCAGGACAGATTCAGGCATTTCCTGTGCAGGATCTATTTGAATGAAATCACAACCATGCTTCTAGAAATCAGAATGTAAACCTGTGGTGATCAATTTCTTCTACAAAATACTCTTGGAGACTTGTGCACATCAATGCACTGGCCCTATTGAAGTGATACTTGAGCGCTGGAGCAAGCTGCCAAAAAATTGCACCCACTCTGCTCTTTAGATTTTTTTTTTTTTTTTTTTTTTTTTTTTTTTTAAGCTTATAATAACATGAATATAAATAATAGTATGATTTTTTTATTTTTTTTAAACTTTCCCTTTTAAATCACAAGTATTAAGTTTTAAAAAACATTTTACAAAGATTTTTTACATTTAATAAATTTTATTAAATTTTACTACGCTTCAAGTCTTCATTGTATTCTAAGAAATACTATCTTTTAACCTCTAAAATTTGTTGATTTTTACAAGAAAAAATATGTGATAGGTAGTAAGGATTTTTTACACTGCTATACTTCAGTTAATAATATGCTTTTTTAGTATCTAACTTTATTATTTACTTTACCAACGAATTTAAGTTTCAACAGATTAATGTTCAAGACAAAGAATTTAGTAATCTATTGCTTTTTAAAAAAATTTATATAGTATTTTATTTAAAATTCATACTTAAAGAAAATTTCAGTAAACTGTTTTTATTTATTTATTAAAATCTTATAAATTTTGTTTTTTGTAAATATTATCTTTAAATTAAATCCTTGCTTGCTTTAGAAAATTTGATCAATATCCCACTTATTGTAATAGTAGTAAATATATTATTTTTGAATGGTAAAGTGCAAAAAAAAAAAAGATATATCAAAGTGAATGCCATTAAATGTAATTAGAATTAAATATTAAAGATCATAAAAGCAAAAACAAATGCAAGAACTAAAAACTAAATATGGCTAGAATAATTGAGATGGAATTGTTTATAATTTGATTAGGAGCTTGGATTAATAAAATTCTATTTTGGTGGATAATTCAGTCAAAATAGGTATTTGATTTTGGTTGTATCAAACACATGTCTTAAAGACAATCCACATTATAGCATAAAATTAAGAAGTGATGATATAATCAAAAATAAAAATTAATAAGAAAAATAATATTATACCTATTTTTAAAAGCTATACATTTTTACTATTGTGTACAATAGTATGCTATTTTATAATTCTATATTATAATTTTTGTAGAAAATATTACATAAATAATTTCTACATAAAAAATATTATATAAATTTATGAGAGAAAAAAAATTTAAATGATTTCAATAGAATTTAAATGTTAATCATAAAAATAAATAAATAAAACTAAAGGACTAGAAATTAATTAAAAATCAAAATTTTGACTAAGTTGCTAGTATTTAATAAATGATTTTAGTGTTGAAAGATAAATTACTACCTCAAGGACCAAAATTCAAGCATACAATTTTAAATTAGTATTAGAACAGTTGAATTCAAATAAAACGTTGGACCTAGTATTCTCTTAAAATCTAACATGCATTTGGAGAATAATTCTTTATTAAATTCCAAAAAAAAGAGATAAAAAATATATTATTTTAAAAATTTAAGACATAAATTTTTTAAAGTAGTATTATGTAAAATATTAAAAAAAAAAATTATTTTTGACATTATTTTATTACTATTCAAAAATTTACCTTTCATTTTTTGAAATCACCTAATTGAATCAAAAACTTATCGTTTAAAATTTATAAATATATAAATTTCTAACATCAAAAATTAAGAAATTTTTCTTCTCTATATATACATATACATATAAATATGTAAATATATATTTTTTTAATTTTTTATATTATTCAGTTATAAGATTGTTATCTTATTATATATTTTTCTTATTTAGACTGATTTTGAATCAATAATAATAGCATCCTTGTTTGTTACAAAGGCTACTCATAAACATGTTACTCTATAATTTTTAAATATTATGTTATTAAATTTTATAAAATATAAAAATGGAAAACAGAAAAAAAAAAAAAAAAAAAAAAAAAAAAACCTTTCCGATTATTGAAATAAAGATAATTTATATATTTAGTAGAAGAAAATGTGTGCCCTTCAATTATTAATGATAAAATATAAAATATAAAAACCTTTAATCATAAAATATATATTATCATAATATAAATAAGGATATAAAATTAATATCATTAATTTAAACTTAAATATTTAAAGTAGCATAAGGAGGAATGAGGTTTCAAAAAAAAAAAAAAAATTAAAATGACATGTGTGGTTTTTTTGAAAAATGCATTTGGTTTTAACAAATTATTTATTTGCCTAATATATTAGGATACAAATAGATTGCTTAATCTTGTAGAAAATAACTATCCTTCTTCCTAATACCATAAGGCAAAATAAAAATAAATAAATAAATTTTAAAGATTGTATAATTTATAATAAGTGTTTACTGCTTGAAAGATTTTCAATGGTAGAAAGCTTTCCATGTGCTTTGAATGATTTGGACCCTTTTAAATTTTATAAAGAGTTAAATAGTGTGGATAAGTAAGGGTCCTAATTTTGATATTTCTATCCAAAGATGACTAAAAATTAATTAAATAGAGCTACAATATCTCCAAAATAATTAATGTCATAGCAAAGAGATAAGCAAGCAATTTTGCTCAATATATAATATTAAAATATTTTAAACTTAGAAATCTAATGTTTCAATAATGTGATAGATGTGAATCAAAAAATAAAATATTAAATACATATTTACTATATTGAGGCATACCATATATACAATTGGTAAAAAATAACATTTATTAAAATTTTGTAGGTGTCTTAAGTAAAAGTCATATAACATACAAAAAATTCTTAAATACTAACATACACACATATGAAAAATAAAAACCTAATAATTTTATTTTTTTATTTTTTTATGTCATAATCAGTAAAGTTTCAACTAAACTGATTTGTTAAGTTTATTTTCTGCCTGAATTTTCTAAACGTAAAACACCTATCAACTGTTTGTTTGTTTGTTTGTTTGTTTTCTTTTATATTACATCCACTACACACACTTATAGAAGTATGGCAACAATAAGATTCCCAGTGAAAAGATAAAGTGGAAGTCACAAGCAAGTCCACTCCTGAAACAGCAACAACATTGAATGAATGGTAGCATAAGAAGAAGAATCAACAACATTCCTGACACAAATTGAATGCTCTCATTCATTCATATATTCATTCATGAAAAAATCCTTCATTTATGATCAGAAAATAAAAGTATTGCCATGCTGAAGCCACCATGCATTAAAAAATATGGGAATGAAGCAAGCAAGCAATCACGCAAAATGAAGGTGGGTTTCTGAATGAAGTGTCTTTTTTTTTTTTTCTTTTTTTTTTTTTTTACCTTCCTCCCTTCCCTTTCCCTGTGCATTAAATGAGAATGAGAAGTAGAATGAGAGGCCATTGTCATTGATGCTGCAAGGTTCACGTTTCTGGAGTTGTAATTAATGGGAAAAGGAGAGAGTGCGAGAGAGAGATATAGAGTGGCAGCGATGTGGCCCTGCAGCAACTCCAGGTTCGATCTCTATCTCACCAGGTTTAGCAATGATCCATCTATCCCAGTACTGTAGCAGTGTTGTACAGTGCAGTGCAGTGATTTATTTGGCAAACACACACCCACACACACACACACACACACTCTCTCCGGTTCCCTTTGGAATATCTCCAAATGAATTGCGTGATGTTGTTGTTGTTGTTGTGGTGCCCCCACCTCGGTGCTGATTGATATTTGCTTTGCTCAGTCTGTGTGGCGTGTTGGCCATGATCAGATCTCGCCTGACCATTCAGATAGTGTGCCAGATATCGGCAGTGGTTGCCAGTGCTGCTGCTGCTGCTGCTGCAGTTGTCGCATTGTCAACAGTCTATCCGGAGGATGGCAACTTTTGGGTCCGGATTCATGCTAGAGCTTAACAGCACTCCCATGTACTGTTGAAGTGGAGTTACATCGGTGCCACCAGTTGTGTGGGAACGACTTCCTCGAGGTTCGACATCTTCTGAGCTTGAATCTTGTGCTGTGCACGTTGTGTTGAACACACACACTGTGTGGTGCAGAAGCATGCGGAGCCGAGCAGACACATGAGCTCCGCAGTACAGCAATCTACTGCACAGCTCCTTTTTAACTGGCATCGCTTTGTAATTAAAAACACCAAAACCACTCGGTTGCAGTGCATTGAGAACTTGGATTCGTTGCCTTCTGCCATCTTCATATGACAACGCTGCATATTCTCTGTCGTGGAGAGAGTTGCTTCGCGCATTGTGACAAACTCGGTGTTGCTAGTGACTATCTCTTTCTCATTCACTTTGGTTTCATGAGCTGGGATCAATGTTGGGGTCAGATGAAGAGGAGGATGTTTGAACTGGTTTCAAGGTTCAGCTTCCAGTCAAGCGTGCAGTCAACCTCGCTGCTGCTGCTACTGCAGGCATATTATTCTGGAAGATTTGCAGCACAGAGAGATTTATTTGTAATATGTGTGTGTGTGTGTGTGCAGCAGTTAATCATCACCCCACTACTTCTATCATTTCACGAGGCCTGGGATTGAGGAGGATGTCGTATTGTTGTTGACCCCAATCCCTGAATGGAGTGTGGGTTGCAACTTTTGCTATGAGTATCAAAAGAAGTGCCTCTTTTACAACATAACTTTCTCCTCGAAAACTGGAAGGAATGGTAGCATGTAACATTACTCAGTCTTATCATTTATGTATACGTTAAATAACATAACATAACACAAGTAAGCATTACTTAAGTTGTAATTTAACACGTTCTTCACTTACATTCTATCACTGTTTTATTTTAAAATTTTATCTTTTACACTTTTTGCACCTCTCACATACACACACACACACACACAGACATTAAAAAAACATTTATGTGTATTTATAGATTGGTTTTTGTTTTTGTTTTTTTCTTCTTCACAAAATATTTGAATCACAAACTTATAATACTTTTTGATACTCTTCTATCCAATCAAAATTACCATCACCATTATCATGCATTTTTTTATTTTATTTTCTGATTTTGATTATACAACTTGTTATTGAAAATTGAAACATTGTTTCAGAACATTTTAATTGTGATTGTGCAACAGAATCATAAGAATGCTACCTTCGATTCTCTATAAATATTTACTCAGAAAAAAAAAAACTGAGGGCGTGCATTTGACCGTTGCTGTTAGTGACCTTTTTATTGTACTTATTTATTTGTAATTTCATAAAAGAGATATTTACTTCAGATGTCATACACTTCAAAATACACAAACACTTTCTATGCAAAGACCAACTATTCAAGTTTTCGTATTGTGAGATCGCAAATGAATCTTGATTTACAAGTCAATATGAATACAAACTTGTCAACACTATTTAAAGTTTAGTTTACAAGAACTTGGTTGTGTAGAATAACCAAGAATTTGCAAGCAAGGAATCAAATCCCACATTGAAGCATCCATGAGTGATGTGGATGTGATTACTGACATGCAAGCAAGCAAACAAGCAAGCATTCATGGATGCTTCAATGTGGGACTTGTTCCGGCACTAACTCAGTCAGAGAGAGAGAGATCAGGATGAAATGAACTTTGAAATAGAGGGAGGAGAAGAAGAGAAGGCAGAGGAAGAGAAGAAGGAAGGAGGGGGGGGGGGTGATTGGGGGGTGCACATGATTATGACACGACGACCGAAAATATTGAGGAGTGCAGGAGGAAGGAGGAAGCTGCTTCTGGATGAATGCACCCCCCCAGCAACCCAACCCCCCACTCATGGATGAATGCGCTCTTTCATTCATTCTTCTGCCACTTGGGCTGGGCTGAGCAGGGGCAGCGCAGCAGAGATAGGGGGCAGGTGGCCCAGGAGAGCATGCATGCCTCCCATGTGCCTCCGTGAAGCCCATAGAGCCTCTTTGGGCGGGGGCAGTCAGGAAAGATCAGTGGTGGTGGTAGTAGTAGCTCTGCTCACAGTCCTGTGATCAAACCATCCCCGGACACTTCTTTCGCTTCTTTTTCTTTTCTTTTCTTTCATCCACGGCTGCCATTCCCTCCACCCTTCCATGGACAAAGAGTCAGCAATCCATATATAACTACAGAAACCAGACTACAGAGAGAGAGGGGGAGATGAAATAACGACAGGTAGAGAACCCCACTCCCCCTCCCTCCCTTTGTTGTTACGAAGGAAGGAAAGAAAAGGAAAGTAGTGCAGGGGGGAGGTGCAGATCCAATTCCGTGCTTTGTGAAAGAATTTGGTGGGTGGTCAGTGTCCTGCTCTGTCTGACGGGCAGGAAGGCAGGGGCAGGGGCAGAGCAGAGCCAGGAGGGGAAGAAAAGTGCTGATCACACGAAGAGGTACCACCACCACCACCCCTTGGCAGCAGGAGGAGGAGGAGGAGGATGCAGAGGATGGATGAATACATGGATGTATGTATGGATGAATGAATGGTACCTCCCTCCCTCCTTCCCTACCCTCTCTCTCACTCACAGAGGATGAAATGAAATGAAATGAAATGAGAGCATAGCACAGCAAAGGGGAGGAACTGAAGAGAATTAGCTTCTCTTCTCTTATGGCCCCTGGATATAATTTGGTAGTCCTGTACTACTACTTACTACTACTGGACCCCCCCCAAGGAGCATCATGGGATTCAACCACTGATGCCTGCCTGCCCTCATCCATCCACCCATCCCAACACCCACTCATTCATCCAACTGAGGCTCTTCCAGGGTAGATGAATTTGTCACGTTGTTGGAATTAACACTCCTTTTTCTCTTATTTCTAATTAACTATTATTGTTACCATTAGGTCTTCCATGCACATCAGATTATTTTCCTTTCTCCTCACCTTTTGAGGGTTGGATTAACATGTCTTAGAATTCTACAATCAAAATACAAGTTGGGCCGTAATCATTTGGTGATCATCAACTGTTCATACCCTCTATATATAATTTATAAACTTTTTTTACTTTTATTTATTGATTTTTCACTCGCTTTGTTTCTGAACCTACACTTAATACAGCAAAAGAAAAGAAAAGAAAAGACAGATTGAAAAATCTTCCTAATGAGTGAGATTGAAGAAATGAAGCCATTAATCCAACTTAAAGCCTTCCACGCCTTAACTTTGATCCTAATCATATCCATTACTCTCTAAATCATATGTACTATTTTTATCTTTTATCTTTTTCTTTTTCTCCCCTGTTGGTTCATTAAAGAGCACAACTCAAAGTAATGTTTTAGGTGCCGGTAACCAAATTCAGTGTCCTATTTTTCCAAAAATAGATTAAAGAACAAGGGATGGACAATGTACTGTGATTCCGGGCCTACTTTCATTCATCTAAGGATGAACGTGTGGGGTGCTTGGTCCATTCCTCAGTATTCCATATCCTGCAACACTCTCCACTTCAATCCAAAGGCCAAACTCTACCAAAGAAGCATCTACTACCGTGATTTGTGGGTGGTATTTTCATTCATGTGGTCTTCTTTTCTGTTTTTTTACAAAAAATTCCAGTTAAACCTTTTTCATATATTTTCAATGTATTTTTATATATAAAAGGAGATGAAATCAAGTGCACATGCCCGAGGTTACACAATATTTGGATGAACGCGGGGGGAACGACTGAATGCATCCATCGTAGCCGCGGTGAGGAAGACCGCTCGAGATGGCCGAAAATTAGCGCCAAAACTGATGCAAACTTGAAATCCATCGCGGGGGAATGGAATGGAATGGCCATGGCAATAGTTTTGGCCATGGCCAAACAATTTTCACGGTACTCACTCACCAGCCTCACAAGCAAACGCAAGAGTCGAAAATACTCGTCCGCCTCGCTTGCCTCTACAACTCAATGTGCAATTGCAATCACGGCTGGTGTCATGGATGCGGACTCGGTACCGATTCATATGAGCTTCGTGAGGTTATGAAGGGTGTTTTCCGTGAGGGGGAAGACGCGGACGCGAGAGAGAGAGAGGGGAATTCAGTCAATGGCGCATGGAATGGGGCTTGACAGTGGTGGATATTGCGGGATTCAATGCAATGGGAGTGATCTTTGCTTCTTGCGGTGATCACATTCTTGCGAGGCTCATAAATTCTTGTCTGTGGGGGCCATCATGGAAGATTGCGAGTCCTGGAATAGTCCTGAGACGGTTCTGATGGTGGTGAGCATTATTGGGACTGCTGTCTGTGCAGTCAGGCGCGGAATGATGGTGTGGTGGTACTTGGCATGCAGGCTGCAACTTGATCCAGTGATCACTGTGTGTGTGACTGTCTGGTTGTCTGTATATCTGTCGGTCTGAGCCGTATCTGCATGTGTCCTACTGGCTTCCTTGAGCCTTTCGATCGGACGAGAACTGCCGTGACTGCTCTGCTGCATGTACTGACGTCGTACGAGCGAGCATGATGCGAGAGGTTCACGTCGACGCTGCTGTGTACTGGTAGTTTATGCTGGGAGCCTGGGCAATTCGGACCAGTATAGATAGCCTGGCGGTTGAAGGTCTCCCCCTGGAAGCCCCGCTCAGATGGTGAGGTCGATGATTACACTTGCTTCGTCATGGCCGTGTGGAGGGGAGCGACGTATTCTTCAGTGGATTGAGTGCGGAGCCTACTTTGCGTCTCAGAAAGAGATGCCAAAGGTATATGTTCTCTCTCGCTCTCACCCCCCTCCCTCCTCCTCCTCCTCCTCTCTCCCTCTCTCTCTCTCTCTCTCTCTCTCCCTCTGTCGCAATTGGGCCCCGTCCAGCGTTGAAATGAACAACAAGCTTAATCGTAGCAATCGAGGTAATGGATTACACCGTTCGTACCTTCCGGAAGGAACCTCTGGCTATTTCGAAAAATTCGTGATTGTCACTTGCTTGTTTTGAATGTCACTATGCCAGAATGATGTGTGATGCCTGTCACGTGCTGACATTGCTTGCACCAATTCTTTCCTCGTACAGTTCTCGTTTTGCATGTCAAATCTGGTTCACACGAAATGGGAGTGAAAGTTTCAGGGCAGAAGAAAGGAAAGGAACATCTTCGACACGATTTCTGTTAATAGTTACGTATGCTTCAACTTCCTGAAATAAGTGGTTCGTGTCCTCAACTTGTTCAACGGTCAATCGAGACCAACCTAGGAAACTGGGAGTTTCGATAGCCAATTCAAATTCCAATGCGTATAGTGGCATGAGCAGCGGCGCATTGAGTAAGGTCGCGCTCCTACGTGTCTTAGCTAGCTGATCTTTCTACAAGAAAATTAACTGGCTTATCAAGAGTATTCTTGTTTAACGTGCAGCTGACCTTAATTTCAATTACGGAGTATTTTTCGATCGGAATGACTAGTCAGATTCTCTGCCGCTGCACCTAAGCATCCATTTCACAGTGTTGTTACAATTCCACAGTCCATAGTAAATGACGAATTCCACTATACGATGAAGCTGGAAGTCTTATTAGACTATTCCAAGGATTCAGCTTGGTCTGGCACAGGTTGAGAGCACGAGCCAGAAGAATAGATCAGAGAAATACCTCGGAATTTTTGCAATTAAATGCTTCATCGCAGGTCATCCCAAAGGTAGTCCTGAGCGCCTTGCTCATGGGGTTGACCTGAAGAAGAGAGGACTAGCAGCATTTTGCACAGTGTGTGTTTCTGAAGGTATCCGTAAGGAAATTCTTGAACTTTTGTCGCCAGTCGAGGTTGTAGTCTTCATGTCACCAAGAGTAATATGTCTAGATATATGAGCAAGAAAAAATTTCCCCCGCACTAATCTTTTGACTATGATTGTGCTGCACTTGCCAGTAGAGTCAACTTTTTCTCCTTAAACAATCATCGTGATTGTTTCTGTTACAAATTTTATGTGTAAAACCACGGAGTTCTGGTTTCCCTTTTTATTTTCCTTCATTTTCTAGCACGTGCTGCCGAACTAGTTCATTCCTTGGTATTGTCATTTGAGTCGCTCTTGAATTTGAAATGTTTTGATTAAGTCTTTTCTTTTGCATCCTATGATCAAACTCTAAAAAATGAAAGGTGTAGGTCGTAATTGGTGCAGGTAATGGGGCATGACACAGACCACGTTTAAAATGAAACGCAACCGTTGGCCGTCAATGTACCTTCACCAACCGAAAGAATTATCTGTGCGGAGTTGCAACCATGCAGAGTAGCGGGTTTTAGAGGGCACTAGAGGTTCTGAGAAACCCTGTAGCACGTAATGTCAATTCCCAATCTTAGCTGCAATTAGTCATCGTGAGCAGAAGTCATTACTCTGATAAGACCGTAAATGCATCAATTCAGCGCTGTTATCAAAATTACTACTGGCTGACACAACTCCTTGTATCAGTAGAACAGGTTGTTTCATCACGAGCAGCCGCTTTGGTTCGCACTATTGAATCAAACCTCCAATTGCGATCTCAAGGGTGTTGGTTGACTTCCGAAATCTCAGTCGATCACACAAGTTACCCTTCCATTCGGAACCGCTGGCTAGCACATACTATCTCTGGCTTTTGGACAGTGTGAGGGGGTTGGTAGACTACTCCACAACAGAGGAGATAAACAGTGTGCTATCCTCCACGGACCACAATTGGCCTCTCCCCTCAGCGGAAGAGACCTGGGTTTTTTTTCAGCAGAGTCCTCCATATGCAACGATCGAAGTCAGCGTGGTGCCTTCGTGGTTCATCAAGGTAAACAGGACTTGAAACGAAATGTTGGAGAATGCCACTGGGGGTGTAATCAAGCATGGGGAGGTCTCCACAAACCATCTATTGCTGGTGACGAAAAAGATCCCTCTGAACAAACCCAAGCAGCTAGCGGTGGAAAACAAGACGCATCCATGACAGGGGTGTTCAATGGAAACACCCCTCTTCAGATCACAGTAAATCCTGACAAGCGATTTAAATCGCTACCACCTGCAGAGATCCTTCCAAGGAACACAACCTTGGGAGGCTACATATTTGTGTGCAACAATGACACCATGCAAGAGGACCTGAAGAGACAACTCTTTGGTATGGTCAATTCGTGGAATCCTTTTTTTTTGTTTTTTTGTTTTTTGTTTATATATATATATATATATATACATATATTCAACAAAGTAGCATGCCTTGAGCAAATTTTCCGTATGAAGCTTAGTGAAGACGAAGGAGAGCTCCAGGTTTTTCTGACAGGAGCTTTTCAAGTCGAGTCTTATGAACATCTGCACTGATAGCACGTTTGGACACACACTGCATCTATATTATATTTGGAAAGCGAGGCAAGACCTTCTGGAAGCAGCAACAATTAGTGATTTAAATTATATAAATCTAAATAGAATCATGGAAAACTACAGTGAACATGAGCTAACATCTTAACTGTACTTGGTTCCTTAATTGGCAGGGCTACCGCAACGATACCGTGACTCTGTCCGCACTATACAGCCTGGGCTGCCCCTTTTTCTATACAACTATACAACGCATCAGCTTCACGGCATCTACGAGGTAAGATCGATTTGAGAGTTGTTTAACTTGAAAATAATATAAAAAAAACTAAAAGATGCATTTGCTACGACGCGTAATACTTCTTCAATCTTGAACTCGAGTAATCTAAATTCAGTGTCATTCATGTCCCGGCCAAATTGTCTTTGGTCATTTTTTCATCATCACAACGTCCGCATCATATTATCTACTGAGTCACATACTAAAATTAGACTTATAAGAACCTACTAAAGGTGACGGGTGGTTGGTGGGTTAACGAAATGCGAAGATAATGATTCAATATTGCATTGTTCAAAGAGATGATACATGACAGAGCAGTAGTTACCGCATTTGCTACGCGCTTCGAATGTAAAGAAGATGAAATTATGATACAATCTCATGAGAAACAGTGTCTGATTAGGCTGCAAGCTTTGGAGGCTCCAACATAGATCCAACAGCTTGGGAAGACAAGAAGTGCCGCGGAGAATCAAGATTTCCTGCACAGGTTTTTGCTCCTCATCTTTCTATTATATTCTTACTGCAGTTGCAAAGTTAGGGGAAGGTATGTCATGAATCATGTCTTCTTGTGGTCTCTTGAAATGCTGAGTGCCTCAACCTCTCCAGATGGTCGACAATCACCAGAGTCGCATTTTGAACTGCCATTGGAATAATGTTTCTTCGTGTGTGGGGATCAGGTGCGGATCCGAGTTCGCAAGCAGTGCAAACCCCTAGAGGAGGACTCCTTCAGGCCCATACTGCACCATTATGATGGACCTAAGTTTCGTCTCCAGCTTTCTATTCCCGAGGTAATTGATTCTGTACGAGTCTTTTTCAATAACAGTAGGTGTAACACTCTTCAGTAGTATGGAAACAGCAGTATTCAGGACCCCACTTATATTCTCCACTACAGTTTTTTTTTCCTACGAAATAACCTTAACTCATTCCAACATTTCCAAGTTTTTCAACTCGTGGTTCAACATACTTTCCATGACTGGACTTTCAGTTACCAATGGCCAGTAAAGTAGGCATTGTTCTTTTCCATGCACGGCGTTTCTCATGTGTCTTGTGGTTTTTGCGCCATGACAGGCTGTCGAACTGTTGGATTTGTTCATGGAAAATGAACTACCGTGAGATTGGTAGCTGTTGTCTGGGACTCGGAGAGCACATTTGAGTCCAGTTTCACACGGTGTAAGTGGAGGATTTTTAAGTACGGAAATATCGTGTTTCCTGTGTTTTGATAGGAATAGGAATATGGGTCGATATCATACTCTCCATCAGAAAGGAATAATACAATTTTGGTGTATGATCTGAGGGAAATGATATTACCCAAATTGGTTACATACAAGGAAGGACGTGTAGGCCTTGAAGGCCTAGTTTTGAAGGCCTGCGAAAGTTGTGACCTGAGCTCATACAGTATCATTTTAAAAGGGTTGCGGTTACGATTTGTTATAAAACATCTTGTTCTCAGTTTTGTTTTGGTGTTGAGTTTTGACATTTCACATATCGGTTGTGAGCAAAGTGAAATGGTGTGACCACTGGCGGATCCAAGATTGCGCCATGATTGCTGGTCCTAAATGATGTTACTGAATCTTGAGTATCTCCACTTCCAATCTGTGCTCTTCAAAATGTGTCCAAGTGACAGAAGCGCAATCGGTGGCTTGAATCAAGTTTCTATTTTTTTCTTCCAATTCTAGAACTTATAGAGCATTAATGGTCCATCTGTCAAATTTCAAGCAGGTCAATTTCACAACCCATGCATATGATTGGATTTTCTACTTTTTCTTTTTCTTTTTCCCTTTCTATCTCACCTCGATGTCGGTAGCTGCCAATGAATTATTGAAACTGAAAGTTACAGTAGTTGAATGTTAATCCTAACACAATTTCTGCAGATTTCTAATCAACATAAGCAACATTTTGGCAGTTCGACTATATGCTGCGGTGTAAAACAAAGTTCAAGCACGATGACAGGAAATGAAGTGTCTGCTTTATCGATGTGCCACACGGAATGCATCATTCTAATTTGAACCCAGTGACAGGAACTCATCTTGCGACAACGATAAATCAAATGTGTGTGTAGAACGTTCTGTTTTATTATTATTATTATTATTATTAATTTTTTCTTTTAACCACGATGAATAGTGGAAACTGCGCTCAGAACTTTTTGATGAGCGGGCAACATTAGTGGTGATCTCAGTTGCCTTTCAGTTGCATCTTCATGTGCTACGTAACAATTTCATGAGCTTTCAGAATTTCCTCGTATACACGGCTGCCAGAAAACAGCACAAATATCTCGGAAATCGGCACATGATTCGTGTCGTAGCTGCAGTTTATTCCATAAAACGCCTGAGCTTGAGACAAACTGCAACAAGCATCCTCCCACTGTAACCACGCAGCCAGTTCTAGTATTATTATATTGGTTAATCACAAACTGTAATCGACGTGGTACAATCGAAACCCCGATTGTGCAGGGGGGTTGAAAGGAGAAGCAACATAGAGAGTGACGCGGGCCGATCGTCTCGGGAGCCACAAAATTTGTGGTTTCACTGTAGTGGTGCCGCCTCCAGCAACAATCAATCAGAGTGCAGAGAATCATACAACAAGTGGGGCCATGGGAGTGATGCTACCCAGTAATTCCAACCATGTTTGTGGATCCACCCACGAAGGGTTGTTGTCGCCTGTGTGTTACAGTCCCACAGCTTCGATTGAGGGGGAGGAACAAGTAACGGCTCATGGCCACAGTCAAACTAGGAACATCATCATCGGCTACCCCAAAACCAAAGCCAGCACCAACTAAGCATGGATAAGAATCTGGCTTCAGATTTAGTATTGCTTCGCCCTACTTCGCCAAACTCAAAGCAAAACCTATTATTAGAACCCCACTGCCAAATGTCCAACGCAGGAGAGTTTCACAGATTGACTTTCAAGGTTGGCACAGAAGGAGATCCGAGCATGACTCCATCTCGGTGGGCATCGTGACCCATCCCCCCCAAAAAAACTTAGATTTTCACTCTCTTTACGTCTCGACAGAACCGGAGCACCCTTTTGTTTACTCTTCTTTTCACAGAAATCGGGAGTGCATTGCGTTGAAAGCAAATATATATTTTGCTGCTGGAAGTAGTGTATACCAACCCATGGGGCTACTTCTTCTTCTTCCCCAATTGGGTGAACTCCACTGAAACCGCGCACCAAAATGGATCAAATCCATGTCATGAAAACGCGTTTATTTTTATTTTTATTTTTGTATTTCTTTTTAAGAAAAAGAAGAAGAAAAAGGTGCAATAGTACACGAGATATGGAGTGCTTGACTGGTTTCAGTTCGATATTTGTGGGGGTTGAATGTGTTCGATCTACTGCATGTGTCCAAACCCATAGAGGGAGGCTACCACTGTGCAGTGATCCAAATACTGTAACCAGTAAAAAAAACGACGGTTCCCTCGGCGCTATCGGCAAAGTGATCCAGCACGGGCAGCCGCCTTTTGGCCGGCCACAAGACTCCACGCTTGTCACCATAACTCCTGATTACACACACTCTCTCTCATACACACACACACACTCACTCACACTTACAAAATCAAACAAACAAACTCACACAACAGGAATGTTCGTGCTGAGCCACCCAATCATCCCACTGGGTCGGTTGTCGCTCCACAGTAGCTGGTCTGGTGGAGTCAGTCCTGTGGAGTCAGTCTTGTGATGGCACCGCTTTTTCTTTTTTTTTCCAGCTTCAGACTTCCACCATATCTCAGTCCACCCCCACAACTTGGAATCTCGAATCCAGACCCCGTGAAACTCACACACTCTGGCCATGAACACAACCTGATCGACAACAACGTCCACAACGCCCACTAAACGTCCTTAAAACGGCGATGAAACTCTCACTGTCTTTGGCAGAATGGCTGTTGTTTCCATTGTCTTCAAAACCTGCAGCTCCCATGATTCCATTTCAGAGCCTAGTTTCAAAAGCATTTTTGGTGAAGTACTAGACCCACAGGTCTGGTCCTTCAATTCCTGCAGGAAATCCCACCATTTCTCACGCCGAACATGGCCTATAGACCCTCCAGTTTTTTAATACAAAATTAGTGATTATTTTTAGGCGATTTAATCCTTTTTCAGTAGGTTTTGTTGTTTCTCTTCCCCAAGTGCTTGTGGGTACTTGAGGGTCTTTAAAGTCTCACTTAGGAGATACTGCCAAGTGTGTTTTGTACTTCAACCATTCAATCTAGTTGGTGTTCTATCTTTGTTGTTGTTTTTGTTGTGATGGTTCAACTCTGGTACAACTAACCAACCTTGTTGGTTGAATGCGCCCATTGTTTTATTGTTATTATTGATTGAGAGACTTGATGGTCATTTGGGTATTGGGTTCTCTTTTTTGGGGTTGAATTTGTGCATTTTCCAGATACCAAGTTTAAAATGGATACTATATTGTGCACTATTTATGCTTCATTTAAGGCTCGTATGTTGTGTCAAATAGGTTTGAATTGTGCTAGAAAGATGATTTATTTTGTGAAAAATCATATAATTACATTTCTCACATTATTTTCATAATTCAAGATAAAAATATATTAAAGAGATACAAAAGAAACTTGAAATCTCAGATTGCAGGTCCATTGGAATACCATACAATACAAGTCAATGAATTTTCAATTGTCTATGTAAACAAACAATAAATTTATTGAAGTATACAATAGTGACTAGATATGTTTTGGGCAATACATCAAGGGCGTACTCATTTAGGTAAGGAAAGATGTTGCAACTATTTCTAACTTTTTTGTGTTTCTTTATCACTCATTCACTCACTCAAATAGAAGTTGTGCATGACACCAGCAGCAGCCCCCATTGAATTCCCTAGAACAGACTCCTTAAGTGACTCATTCATTGCAAAAGGAAGTGTGTGTTTCAACAGAAGCAGCAGACAAATCCCTGCAGAATCATTCAGAAAAGAGTGGGGGAGAGATGAGTGGTGTGCAAAAGCCATGCAAAACCTCCACTGAAATAAATAAATAAATCTATATATAGATATATATATATATATATATATGTGTGTGTGTGTGTGTGTGTGCTACTACTATTGATCAACTCCAACACTCTGCTGCACAATAGAAATGATGGGTGCCAGTAGCACAGCCACAGCAGCAGCCATGACCCAGCCCAGCCAAGCCAGTGAGGGAGTGAGTGAGTGCCCCGCAGCCAGTCAGTCTTCTTAGAAAGAGTAAGAGAGAGTCTGTGAGGGAGAGAGAGTGTGCAAGTTTGTGTGAGTCGTGTGTGTGAGAGTGAGAGAGAGAAGAGAGAAGAGGGTGTGGGTGTGTCAGTGAGTGAATGAGTCAGTCAGTCCAGTGAGTCAGTGAGTTTCGAGATTTTTTTTCTTCTTATTGTTGTTGTTGTGTTGTGTTGGGTTTGGTTGTGTGTATTTTGTGGGGCTGGCAGAGATGCATGGGATACTCAAGTGGGGGCTCCTCTGCCATTTCTTCTACTCCCCCTTTTCTCCACTCCCTCAGACCCACTTCCACTGCTCCACTTTTGAACTCAACACACAGTCCCAGAAAAATTCCAACAACAACAACATAAGGGGATTTTGGTTGCAAATAAACTCAACTCCCCTTCTCTCTTGTATTAAAATTCAATAATAAAATAGAGGATTAGAAGGAAGCTAAACAGAGCTGAGATGATGGGACAATGCCTGCAGTTTCTGAACTGGGTGATCTAATACTTTAACTGCAAGCTTTCCTCACACCACACTTCTTCTTCCTCTGCTGCTGCTGCTTATAATTGTTGTTGTGTGTTATTACATTGAATGAGTAGTAGTGTTAATATTATAATATACTAAAGAAAGATAGAAAGAGCAAAGTGGGGTGGGGGAGACACTTGATTGGGAGCCTGGACTCCAGTTCTCTCCCCCCCATTGAAATTGAAATTGTGTTTTTCCAGGCTGACATTCACAGTCCCTTCTCCATGATTCCACCATATCACACACTGATTATTGTAATTCTCTCCTTTTACAAAAAATGAACAAATAAAAAAATGACTTGCTGGGTCTTTCTCCATCTCTGGCTCTGTACCTCCCAACCCATCCTGGCAAAGCAGCCTTTTTGAGGGAGAGGGAGGCAGTGTACCCGAGAAGAAAGCCTGAAGGGGGATCATATTAAAAAACAGAAGGACCATCAAATGGGAGAGAGCCTTGTTATTTGTTGTCATGCCCTGTTTTCCCCCATTTCTCTTTCGTCTTCTTTGTGTCTTCTTCTCACCCTCCTGCCATACATACAATTGTAGTAGCCAGGGGCTGCTACTCACCTGCTGACAGAGCCATCCCAATGGTAGTGGGTCCAATCCCCACCATGCCCCACTTCATCTGCAGCGCAGTACCACTTGCTCACTCTCTCACACACTCTCTGTTTGCCAAGTCTGCAAGGCAATGGCATTCTGGTGCCCTCCTGTAACTTTTCAGAAGCTGTGTTACTTTCACTGTCTTGTAGAGAATCAATCGGAAATACAAGTACATGAAGAATTTTTTTAAACTTACAGCAGAAAAAAAAAAGAGGGAGCTTAACAACCCCACAAATAAATGTGTATGTGTGCACTTTGTTGTCGCCTGCTTTGCAGGTTTTGATGGCCTGGTGCTTGTCGCAGCTTGTGTCATCAGCCCAAGCTCTGAATGGACCATCATCATCACCATCCCCACTTCATAATACCTCTATGGCAAAGAAAAAAAAAACAAAGAAAAAAGTCCCCCACCGGCCCCTCCTCTGTTGTTAGGGTTCCCTTTCTATGAATGAATGCAAGTGGGGGGAGATGTTAGAGAGAAGTGGATTTGGTGAATGAACTTTTGAGAATTAGAGAGAAAAAAAGGGGAAATCTTCCACCTGCATCGTTAGGGTTCTTTTTCACATAAATGCAAGGAGGTGTTTGAAGGGAATGGATTGGTGAATGAACCTTTGAGAAGTTGAGAGAAAAGGAGAAGTCCTCAACCAGTACATGTCCTTGAGAATGTAACGAGCAGAAATATTCAAGATGGAAGAAGAAGCCACTACAATGAAGAAAAATCATTGTATGTTGGTAAGAGGAGGTACAAGAGGAGAGTTTGACACGCTACATACACCCCATTGTATGTATTGTGTCCTTTTTTTCTGTTACTTTTTCTTTGGTTTTCTACTCTATCTTCTAAACTCCACTCTCTAACTATATTGAATCGATGCATTTGAAGAACTACTTGGACATGTGATGGTTGTGGAAAATCAGATTTTTTAAAAGAAAAAAAAAGAAAAAAAAGAAAGAAAGATCATTCAACTAGTATCTTTTGACAACACCCATTGTATCTCCTTAACTGAAGGTCGTTGATTATTATTACACACTGGACATGAGTTACGGAGGAATTTTAGAAAATTGTGTTTGACAAAACGGTCTCAACAAGGATCCAAGAGCATGCAATGGATGGACTATGGGATAATTAGATACTCTTGCGAAGTGGGCGGGCAGGACGGTGAAGTCCCGGTGAAGCAAAATCCCGCATGATCTCCCATGCACTAAGAATGGAAATGGCACCCTTCTTCCCCACGAGGCTTTGGTGCCCAAACCGTAAACACTACAACACCCTTCTTCTTCTTCTTCTTCTTCTTCTTTTCTTTATTTTAAAATGAAAGGTAAAAAGGACTACAAAGAATCAACTTTGTACATGGGATCCATTTGCAGAGCTTGATTAGAGGGCCAATTAGAGGGGATGAAGGGTGCAACAATCCTCCTCCTCTCCCCATAGCCAAACATATTTCCTAATAAATACTATAGTATGCACTTTTATTTAACAAGGCAAGGGAGCCACAGCTAACAATGCTAAAGAGTACTATTGTTTGTGTTCTACACACACCCACATCCCCCCATTCCTTTATCACACTCCCTTTCTTTATAGCAGTGCTTCATCCTGACAAGTCGTGTTGCATAATTCTTATCAAAATTGGCTTCTTCCAGTTGCCATTCCCATGGGGGTATCTGAGATCTTGACTTCATAAAGACAAAACAAACAAATGAATCATTTAATGAAGGAAAGAAACAAAGAAAAAACAAGGTGTGCCTGTCCTCTTCAGAGAGCATTGCATAATAGACTGTTTATTTGTTTGTTTGTTTTATTTCTTAATCCATTTCTCACTATCATAGTTATTGTTGTTGTTCTCTTTCTTTTGTTTGAATGTTATTGTTGGTTTCCGTGAGTTGGCTTTTGTATGTTGGAAAGGAAGCCAATGACAGGTGCGGGGATTATGTGGTATACTAATCTTGTGCCCTAATCAATCATCTGGAAACTGCACATTCTCCCCCCTTGTCTGTGTGTGTGTGTGTCTGAATGTTGTTGATATTTTTATTAAAGCAATAAAGCCCTTCTGTGGCATCTGGCAGAAACCCTGAGAATTTATTGTGAGGAATCCTACAAAAATGAATTAAAATGTTTTTTTTTCGTGCACCAAGCCCTGCAGCTGTTGAGGAGGGTGCGCAAAATATTATACACTTGTCCAGGTGGGGTTTTATTAATTAATTTGTATATATGATTGGTTTAAGTTCCTTGCTGTAGTGATGTAAGGCAGGTGCACACCTTTGTCCTTGTAAAGTGATGAGACAAACTGAGGTGGTTTCCATTCCAAGGCATTGCGTGTTTTAGGTCAATAAGGATGTAAATCACACATGGATCACCACAAAACAACATCATCAACAATCATACATGTATATATAGATAGATAGATAGATCATTAGAATAGTAATAGACTCAAATAATAACAAACTTGCTATGTTTGCACCATTCATATCACTACATCTGTCTATTAGTGTATGGGTGCAATTTTTTTAATTCTTTTGAAGTCTTGGCTTAATAGGAAACCTGCCCTTAAAGCCATGTGACTTCTATCATAAGAAATTTGGTTGCAAGCAGCTTCCTTGCCCACAAAAGAAGACCATTTTATGTGGAAGATGACAAGATATTGAATTGATCTTGTGCATTTTGAAATAATATTGTGTATTTTATTTGTTCTATAACAAACATGTATTATTATTATTTCAAAATGATTTTTTTATATCATTTTAAAGAATTAAAAAAATTGAAATATTGTGAGGAGTTCAAATAGGTCTTTGTTGGAAAAATACATGGTACAGAAATACTAATAAAATTTACAAGCAGCATAAAAATTTTAAAAAAATCTTGGAAAATTTACTACAAGTGTATTTTAAAAGAAGTGTTCATATTGCATATTAGGCTCTATATCCAACTTAAAACGTGAAGATTTCTTCAACCTGTTGTAAACGAAACTGACATTAAACAAAGCTGGCATTGTGAATGCTTGCACATACTTATCACAACAAAAGCATTGTAAAGCTTTGAATTCAAGTAAATAAATGCAATTCGCATTTGGAAATAATAATGTATATTTGTTAGAGTGTTACATTTTTTTCAATCTTAGTTAAATATAAGTTTGATTACAAACAACAAATAAATAAATAAGTATTAACTAAAAATATATATACTTCATGTTTTATAATAATCTGGGAACATTGTATTTTTAGATTTGAAAGATTACTACTTTCTTTATAAACATTAGATTGAATTCTAGAAATAAAATTCAATCAAATGGTTACAGAAATTTATGAGTTCTTCAAAAAGAAATTGGTTCTCATGTAATTCAAAGCATAAGAATTGCCACATTTTGATATATATATATATACATATATACACAAATGCACATAAACATCACATGAAGATAAATTTTACATTTAAAAAAATACAAAAAATAATTAAGAGAATTCATTGATTGGCCTTAAAATTTTGCACTTATGTGGTAATTATATTGTGCGTACAAGTGCATCAAGTCACGATTGGATAGGATTTCCTTGTTATTCCTTTCCTTTTTTTTTCATTTTTTCATTTTTACGTCTTCCAAACCCTTTTTGTCATTTTGGTCATACAAAAAGGAGAGCATCATTTGGCACTGACATTCTTAAACAGAAGGATTCTTCCTACTGAAAAAGGCAACAAACCCCCTTTTTTTGACCATTGGATGCATGTTATATTTTATTTCTTTTTTGTATGTGTTTTGGTCATATTGGCAAAATTAGTAGGATCCTCGAATCTTGACAATTTGCGTTGCATTCTACAACATACTTGGTGCAACTTTCTAATTTCAAGCATTGATTGTCTGCTAAAATTCTTATGTTTTAAAATGTCAACATGATAGTATCTCTCATTGAGACAAATTCAAATGTGTGTTAAAACATGTGACACTGATCTACATGTAGGATCTTATGTCCATGTAAATTTCTACTTCTAAAAGTGTTAAGATAATTTCAAAAAAGTTACGCATTTTTTCTCATCAGTCATTAAACAAAATTTTAATGGACTTGTCTTCAATTATGGAGAATCAGTAGTTGGATCTTTTTGAATATTCTTACTTTGAAAATAAAAATAAAAATGAAAATATTTTTTTTGAGAATTTTGAAGAGGACAGAAGTATTTCTTTGAGTACAATAAATTAAAATTTGATGCTTAAAAAAACATGCTTGAAATTTGATTTTTATATTTTAATTTAAAGTTGAGTTTCAAAGGTGATTTTTAAGCACAGATGATTTGTAGAATCTACAATTATCAGGTTTTCGTGGATAAAGACATGGGTTTTAGATGCTATTAGTGAATGTCTACATAAATTTAAGTTTATTTCAAAATCCATGATTTGAAATTGATAAAGTTTTTAGGAATGCTGAAGATCAAATCTAGTATTTCTTATTGCTGAGATTAATTTCTAATAGATATGATCGATCAAATAAATATCATGATTTAAAAATTACAAAATATTTATTTGGAAATGAAAATTCAAAAATATATTATAAAACATTTCATATAACCAAGTTTTTTAAAAACCACACTAATAAATTATAAAAATATTCTACCATTTGTAACAGAAGTAATAAAAGAAAATATTATTTGAATTTTTTTACAATCAAGTGCTAAAAATAAAATTTTAGAACGTAAATAAAATCAATATTTGTATTTTGAATCCAAAGTATTTAAACATCAAGTTGTACTGATTAAAGGAAGTGTTATGAATGTATTGGTAAAGTAGTAATTTGGGTTATAGATGATGTTTATAAAATTGATATTTCAGACCCGTTAAATGTTTTTTGTAGAAGTAATATTAAGCTATTTTATAAATAATTCACATAATTTTAAAGATATAAAGTAACAAATTGAGATTCCTTGATTATGGATAAATCGCAAGAGTGGTATAAAATCTGATTAATTTCAAGTGTTAAATCTAAAATTATTATTTATAAAAAAATTAATATTGTTATCAAAATAATGAAATTAATCTAATAATTTTTCTCTATAATTATATGAAAATAATTTCACAACCTACAATACTTCTACTATTCAAGAAAAATAAAAATATGATAACTTTTAAAAAAATTATACCAAGTTGTACTTGATTGAATTCACACAGGGCATAACAATTTACTAAATTAATTTATTACTCCTATTTATATTGCACATATGTTAATAGATTCTTCGAAATAAAATTATTTCAATGTCTACAAAAATTCTGCATCATTTATTTTTTCGTCATTGACAGAGGCTGTACCAATTTAAAATAATTGGCAATCTAATAAATAAGTTTATTTATTTTTAAATAGATACTGCTATCCAAATCTAAAAATTTCTACCTTATAAATTGTCTGGCTAAGTTTTATTAGTTTTCATAATAGTCATTCAAAATTCAACATCAAGCTACTCACAAAAATTAAAATATTTACGCATTAAACTGAGTTGTATGATTTTTTTATTTTTTTATTTATGAAAAATTATAATCAATATTTAATTTAAAAAATAAAAAGAATAAAAAGAATCATAAATTTTACCAAGATATTTTACAACTTAATAGTACATAATTGAAATTCACAAAATCTGTGTTTTGTTTATTACACAGTCTTATTAATGTCTTTATTTGAGATGTAGGATTTTAATATTCTAAATTTAAGTGTAAAGAACTAAGTTGTTTTATTTACGAATTAAAAAGAGTTTTAAATTATCACTTGATGTTAGTTTTAATATACTCAAGTATTAATGACTTAGTAAATAATTATATTTAAATATTTTAAAATAATTATAATTGGATGTATTTAGTATATTTCTCTACATAAAATATATTTTTTTATTTAATTTATCTTATAATAGGGTTTATATTAAAATGATATAAATATATATTAAAATAAATATTACAAAAGTTCAGAATTCAAAAAATAAGAATCATAGTTGTATTTTTAAATTTTAAAAATATAAAAAGTATTAAAATAACACAAAAGGATATATATATATATATATATATATATATACAGAACTATTTTTTATGGACATGATGTTATATTGTATATTAGATTTTTAAAAATACACTTTCTTCATTTAAAAGTGAAACAGTTCAAGGCAATAAAATTTTGTTTATTTAAAAGTATATTCATATTCTATTTCATCAAACCAAATGAAATTAAGATGTTGTATTGTTTAGCACTAAAGTTTAACTGCTATGGTATAGTATTAATTCTTGTACAAAGATTTCTTATATTTCACATTTTTAAAATTATCACTTACTGATTTAAATAAATCCAAAATGTTAATGGAATCAGTATTTACCAGGTTTATTAATTTTCAATTAATAAACTTTTAATCGTAGTTTTATATTTATTAAAAAACTGAAGGAACACTGGTTCAGTAAAAACTAAACATTACTGTACAAATTCACTTTTTAAAGAAAAATAATAATAAATCATAAATTTTACTTTATTCTATGTAATCATATGGAATATTATTTATTCAAGTCAAGATTCACATGTACAATGAATTCATAAAACGACATCTTCAAAAAAAAAAGAAAAAAAAAGAAAAAACCTTAAAATAACATTGAACGAAAATTGAACTAATGGGCAGTGTACTAATTATTTTTTAAACTTAATTCTTCTGTTTTAAACCACTTTTTATAACCAAGTAAAACCTGTACACAAGAGCTTGTCCATGCCCCTATTTACTTTTTCCACAGAATTCTGTTGACCTTCCAAAACCAATTCTTGCCAAAAAAATCTTAAGACAGATACACAAACAGCATCCTGCAATCAAAAAATGTGGTAGTTACGATCATAAGATATATATATATATATATATATATATACATATTTTCATACATATTGTTATGGGTCAGCTAAACCCCCAAAAACCAAACCAACAACAATGGGGCATCAGAAAGTGGAGGAAAAGAATGCCTCCTTGAGTCCCCCTACAGCTCCACTTGCACCCCTATTCACTCACTCACTTGCACACACACACACACACAAACATATATATACACACACACATGATGATGATGAAGAAGAAGAAACAGCACCATAAGAAGAAGAAGAAGAATCATGCAATATCATCCAGGCACTTGGCACTTGGGCACACGTGGTATGAAGTGATAATTTATGAAGATCTTGTGCAGATTTGCATCATCAAGCTCAAGTTCAATGTCTACTACACACAGCAAGCAATGCTGATGGAATACACACACACACACACATTCCTCTATACTTACAGACTGAAATACCCACACACACATACACACACTCATATATATATATATATATATACATTCATATACATATGGAAATACATAGAAAGAAGTAAATGTGTATATGAGAGAGTGCTTTTACAGAGCAGGGAACGGAAGACAGTATGATTTGTAAGTGGTACTGGAAAGTGGCGCAGGCGCCATGAGCATGTTCTCTGACTGTAAGTAAGCAAGTAAAGTAAGAATGCAAGCAAGCAAGGAAGTAAGCAAGCAAGCAAGCAGATGATCGCAGTGGAGCTGACAAACAAACAAACAAACAAGGAGGGATGAGCTACGCAAACAGGAGGAGCAGGAGGAGGAGCGTGGCAGAGCAGAGCAGAGCCCAGCAGAGTGACGCTGCGCCGGGAGTGGGGTTGGGGTTGTAAAGGGGACCGTAACGTTGCAGGTGATCTCGGAAGTGCAGCAGCAGGCGTAGAAGCAGCAGCAGCAACAGCAGCAGTGTAGGGTGGTGGTGGTGGTGGTGCTGCATGTGGAACCATGCCCCACTAGTTAACTCCGCCACAGTCACAGTCTTCTCACCACTGTTGATGGCGGTGCCTCTGACTGCGCCTGCACGGTTATTTCCGTTTCCCTGCCTCGCACAACCACACGATTGTCCTGGTGGCCCTGACGCACTGCAGGATATACAGTAAGAGAGACACATATATACGAAGACATGAGTATTTTTATAAATGGTATCCGATCATATACATACAGATGTATTATGATAATTTAATTGGGTACATGTATATATATATATATATATATATGTGAGAGACTGGTGTTAAATACGAAACGGATAATTCTAAGCAAGTGTCGCATTGTCTCTTTGTAGGGCTCCCTGTAGTTATGGTGGTGGTGGTGGTGGTAGTGGTAGTACTGGTGGCCCCAGGGGTTCTTCCTTTCTTGCGCGCTTCCGGTCTGTCTGTCCGGCTGTGCCTGTGTTGGAGCTCCGCACTCCAAGCACAAAAAGGCTCCAGTCTCGCCGATCCTGTTGGCCAAGCATAGCATAGAAGAGCATGCCATCCAAACAATCAACCTGGTGTATGGAACTCCTGCATCGACGCATGCTCCTATTGTCGCAATCTCTCCTCGCCAGCTGCTGCTACTGCTGCTGCTGCTGCTGCAACTCTACCTGCTGCACATCCCTGTTCTGGATGCTGCTGCTGCTGCTGCGTGTTGGACTGCTTCCGATCCGGCTGCAGCCTAGTCCAACGTGTCGAAGACCTTGTGCACAGACAATCACCGGATTGTTGCCAGTCGAGAGGACTTTGCGGTGACGAAGTCGAGCAGTGGGTGTGGCGGAGCCGTCATGCTGTAGATTGCACATACTGTCCTGAGATCTTATTGGATTTTCGCACATACTCTTGGTGGGTCGCCATCCAGGTCGGAGGTCTCAGTAAAGCAAAAAGTTAGACTTCTGGGCATCAAATCTTTGTGTGTGCAGGTTATCATTCTCAAAGACTTTCAATTGTGAAAGGTCGAAAGATTCACTGACTCCTGTACTACTACTGCTATCCCATCTGCCTGGTTCCACCGCCTCCATTCTCCTCTGCACGTGGTTGTGGGCGCGGAGACCACAATATGTGCCCCTCGAGTCTGATAAGAGCATTCAGCCGTTTTTGCAGACAAATGTAAAGTACCACTTGGGGCCATCACAGAAGGCGGAAAAGGGCGGCCCCGCCGTGCGAGAAGCATTGAAGGAGTCCCAAGAGATTTCTGCCCAGTTGTTCTAGTGTGCAATCCAGTGCTTGTGTACGCTGAACCAGCGGTGCACGTATCCTGTGAGACCGAATTATCCGCTTGAAAGGGTTGCACACGGTAACCCGCTTCATTACTGTACTGAAGTTGGTGGCACTTTCTGCCAGATTGAACATTCTGATTCAGCAAAGGTAATTCAAGCATTGACCACAAACTCGACCTCAACGTCGTTTGATCTAGTTGCAGTGCTTACGAGTAAGGAGTGAACCTTTGAACGAGCTGTGAATCCTAGTCATGCAACTCATGCTCAGAAGCATATTGCTCAGGAACCCCCATCCAGCCTTCTGAAGCTTTTATCCTTTTCTAGTTAGAAACTCAGTACAGCAACATATAGAGAGAGAGCATGGTGGAGCGAATCTAAAGCTAGCGAAGATCCGATCTTCATTTTGTTATTAGAAGAGCCAGTAGATGTCACAGTTTTATGGCAACCCAGTCATCTCTAACATGAACACATCATAATTGTGAAGCTAGCAGCGGATCAGTAGAAAACGAAACACTCCATGAGTTCGAGAGGGTCGTCAGATGTCTCATTGGACGAAACGTGTAGTTCTGTGAACAGACAGTGGGTCCAAGAGACTTCGACCTACAAGCATCCTGTGCACGTTGGTTCCTGTCCAGTCACATCACGGTCATTTCCATTACTCATAACCGTGACTGGGTCTCACCACGTTAAATGTATTCAAGCTTAGTTCGTGTTTGAGTTTGATTCTTAATTTCCCTTGACATTCAGTAGATAGAAAGTCGTATTTCATTCTGCCATCCCTCGTAACATATATCGTCATTAATCGGTTAAGTCCAATACCGAAACGGGTTATCGAAACCAGACATCATTGCTATTTTCGAAGGCCGAATTTTCTACTAATTTTCTTTTTACCAGATTAATTTTTAATCCAGTAGTCGCTGGATAAGAGTAATCGGGGTGAGGATTCAATTAGCATATGAACAACGTTTCCAGGGATTCCCGGTGATGATTCGATGGTCCAGATCAGGATTCGTACTTACAGTGTCGACAAGTAAGTCGTGAGGACACTGACGTCAAGAGCAGTTGACGTTCGTCGCAAGATGCTGTCTACTTCTCACCGTGTATGGTGAGAAGCTTCACAAGACATCAGAAAACGTAGACGTAGAGCTCTGGCCCGAGGCAAACTGACTCGGACAGTCGGCTGAACGCCAAGCAATGAGAGCAGTCGCACTCAACATTCGATCGTACATGTAGCTAGCACCTATTTTTGCCGAGAAGTCGGGAGATCTTTAAGCTATCTAAGTGACTCCTTATATATATATATATATATATGTATATATCTGGTGACGCTTGAGTCGCGCCAGATATGTGCATGACATGCACGTGAGGCCTGGACGATTGGTAGGGGAACGTCGACGTTAAGTTGGAATTGATACTGCGATGTGATCCATCGAGCGTGTTTCCAAAGCATTGATTGATTGATTGATTGATTTCCCCGTCGACCACCACCAGGTTGGAGGGGATTTGAATTGGAGTATCCTGAACTGCAAGGTAATCTGCACTTATCTCACAGGCACAAGCAGCTGTTGAGGTCATTGCTATTCATGTCCTGAACTGTGAAGCAACAATTCCAGCGTGATAGCTCATGCATTGAGCGATTTTAAGATGAAAATTGATCCCCCCCCCCCTCCCCCGGTATGTTAAATGTTTCCCGCAATGTCCGTGTTGCAGTTATGCTCATCGACAGCCACTGCTTGGGAAACTGAATTATATCGTGTTAGCAAGTATGTGAGTAAATGTTCGACTTCTAATTTGACGGACAGCGCCGGTTTTTATGTGGTTTAGGCTGTGGTGTTCCACTGATCAAACGAACACATTCTCTTAAAATAATCCGATTCGTGAGGTCGATTTCTGCACGAGTAGGCATACAATTGCCTCGTGGTACGTAGGAATGAAATTAGTTTAGTTACGATTAATGGAGGTTCTCCTAAATCCGGACCTTCTACTAGGAGCTAGTCTTGTGAAGCACGCACTGTAGGACGATGCTGGAGGTGGTCCTGGTTGCAGTGCACTTTGTCTGGAATTAGTACAGTGATCCAAGGATTGTAGCTGTCGACCTTTTAGAATCAGAGTACCACACCAGACCAACCTGGCTGACAAGAGCTTTCGACAAACGGTGCCTTTCATCGCCGTGACGTTTGGACTAGGATCATTGGCTCAACATTGACATGACAGCCACATATGATTGGCTGGAAAGGTTGCTAGAATAACACAATTAGCCTATGTCTGTTGCGACCCATTTTCCGAAATTCCAACAATTTTCCATGGGCACCCGTAGTTGATTAGTTCTTGTGGACATGTGTTGTTTGAAAACTAGGCTGTGTGAAGGGGTGAAAGAAGGTCGCTGCGACTTCTGAAATGAACAGCAACAGCAATGCACCGATTCCAGTGGGGTTCAGGTTCCATCCAACGGACGAGGAGCTCGTGGGGTATTATCTTCATGGCAAAGTAGGGAGAGCGCAGCGAGACCAGTTCATTCAGGAGTTGGACCTCTACAAGATCGAACCCTGGGATCTGCACGGTAAGCCAACGAACCCACATTTTGCAGGATTTCATTAACGTTGGTTGAGGTTAGAAAACTGGAACTCGCTTTAGTTCGAGGAATATATAAATAGATATGGATATATATATATATATATATATATGAGAATACTCTAAGTACTGATAACACCATCTGTACTTGCGGCGACATCAGAGGTGTGCAGAATTGGCGACGACGCACCCGAGAATCAGAGCGACTGGTACTTCTTCAGCCACAAGGACAAGAAATATCCTACTGGAAACCGCGCAAACCGAGCCACCACAGCCGGATTTTGGAAAGCCACAGGGCGGGACAAGCCTATCCACACGCAGCGTCATGTCATAGGCATGCGTAAGACGCTTGTGTTTTATCGAGGGAGGGCACCTCACGGACAGAAAACGGACTGGATTATGCACGAGTTTCGTCTCGACGAAGGACCTGGTGTCGTCCCTAACTATGTAAGCCCTTCTCTCTCTCTCTCTCTCTCGCCTCATCCTTATGACCTTTGTTTTATTTTTAATTTTTTGTCTCGTACCATTCATCCCTTTCATTTCCAAGTCATCTGTGACTTGACAATCTCGATGATGTTGCTTGAAGTTCACAACGGGTGTGGTTGGAGTTCTGAAAAGCAAAGGTGGCATTGGATTGCTTGTACAGGAATCAGATGGGTGGGTGGTGTGTCGCGTTTTCAGGAAGACGAAGAATTTCAAGACCAAGAGCCAGGACACATCGTGCTCATTTGAGGAGGACCAACAAGTCGGATGCGACACGCTTCCAGCGGAGCTTGTGAGCTCACCTAGTCATGAGAAATACGTGGACAGTGGAGGAGGTGCCATGAACAACATCCTGCAGCTTCACCACCACTACAACTTCGCGTGCAAACAGGAGATCAGCGTGGACGATTACAACGCTCATGTCCATGACCCCTTCGTCGAGAATCTTCACCACCTCCAAGAGCTTCACAGATCGCTGGAGGGCAGCACCAATCACCCTCTTGCGCCGTGCTCCTCCTCTACGTTCAGGAGCCAGCAACAGTTGAGCCGGATGAATTCAAGAGATCACGAGAATTACTCCGTTGCACCGGCATTTCATCACGGCGAGTCGTCTCTCAGGGAATTTGATGAAACCAGACCCAATGTTACTCAGGATGGCTCGCTGTGCAGCTTAAACTTCCCTGCAACTTACCAGGGAGAGGATTTTTGGACGCTTGAGAGCGCCAGGGCGAGCCTGCGACGAGACCAGACACTAGCAGACATGACATGCCATGTCCACTTAAAGAGGGGGACGACGGACCATTTGTCAGCGTCCCACCATGAAAACCTGGTCCATCTCTGGAATGTAAAGTAACTGCTCACACGATAGTGACTGGATCAATCCGTAGGGGAGATACTTAGAACTTGAAAAGCCTCAAAGGAAGAATACTCCGGTCATCATTGGCCTCATGGGGAGTCATATTTTTAGGGATACAAGGTTGTTTTGTGAAGCTCCAGCAGACCAATTAATTAATAATTTGAGCACGTTGCGTCCCACATTTAGGAGGAGCTGATCAAATCACGTTTTAGTTCGGATACTGCAAGCCTGTCAACGACTGGAGTTGCCGCATGAGCTACCGCCAGTTAACCGTCTCCATGACAACAACATAGCTGAGGCAAAAAGAGACTGAAGGGCGAAGATGACCCAGAGCAATGCTATCTAATGATGCTCGCTAACTGCTTGGAGGACGTCACCGAAATAGGCTCTGTCCTCATCATTAAGGGAGGAAGAGAAGAATTAGAAGATGCCGAGCGATGCTCGCTTTCACAGAAATTACCATAATGAAGAAATACCTAGGGGGTATGCATCGAGACGCCAAGTTGTTCACATCATGCGTTTAGTTCGTCTGTTTTGATTTTACTGTCTGCGATATTGCAGTAATCTTCTGCCGCCGCACGGTTTGTTGCGAATCGGAGGCGAGTTAGTTAGATTACCCCTTGTATAGTCTCTTGATACGTCCATTCGTTGCACCATGACACAGACGGCATGAAATCCTGTGAAAAGACTGTGGAACTGACCGTAAAATAAATAATAATAATAATAATAATAAATTTTTAAAAAAAGTAATGACATGTACCTCAAGTTGCTTGAAATCATGTTTTGTACGCGCTGGTTTCAAATTGTTTTGAAAAAACTTGCTCAGTGCAGAATTTCCATGGACCTACTGCTACTACTACTACTACTCTCTGCTACTCGTGAGTAGACCTCGAAGTTCTACCCGGCTAGAGTGTAATCGGATCAACCAGCAGGGTGTGACGGTACCGTCTGAGATGATCATGTCTAAGACGACGCCACAGCTCTTTCCAAATTTGAAGATGAGCCGTGTAAGCCAGGACTGGTTACTTCAGGCCGGAACTGAACCTTCTCACTGGCACACTCGTGTTGACAGATCTCCCTAGCCCAGTTTAGGGTACTAATCGCAGCAAACTTCTTGACAAAACTGTTTTTGTGATATAACCGCTTGCTTTGAATTGAATCGAACGGCACACACACCACTGCGGCAGCAGCCACAACAAATCATGTCGCGTCGAAGCTGACAGTCGGCCGCAGACTGTCACCAAATTCAGAAAGGGATGACGGCTGCAGTTTCTTTGCCCGGACAGTTTGTTCGATAGCCCACTGCGACGGTCGACTGAGCACAATGTCTCTGACCCATTCTGGACATGCTGGTGATCCGCAATGCTCCAAGCATGATCTACAAAGCATGAGACATCGAACGAAGTTGCAGTTGCAGCAAATCCCCACTCAAATCTTACTAAAACTGTACTCTCCGTGCTCAAGTGGGCTGTTCCACGACCCGATCTCATCAACAGGAATCATGACAAAGCACTGCATTGAACGCGAAAAGCTTAGCAAGCTGGCGAACATTATGGTCACAGGATATATCTAATCTACTAACTGGAACTTGTCGACGACGCCGACACTGACAAAGCTACTTGTTTTTGTTGTAACTAATTGCGTTCGCACCACATGAAAATCACGACTAGGTGCGACAGAATCTGGATGGATGTTTATGCCGCTATTACTCGGCAACTTGTACACGCAAAAAGATAGGCTAGTAAATCGGGAACCAATTGCATACTTTTTCCTAAAAACCCTCTTAGGCTAGAAATGCTTGGAATCGATAACCATTAGACAATGGATAAGGGTATTGATATGTATATAAACAACGGTTGTAATCTTGCATTATATTGCAATAACATCACAGTTTCAGATTCCCATGAAAGGAATCTTGGTTCTTACATGGTATCAGAGCGATGTTATTGAGCATGTAGCTGCTGCCCAAGAGTGTCTCGAACTAGAGGAGACGTAGCATCTAATCTTGTTCCTGACTAAGTTGAAGAAAGTGTTAGAAACTGATCGAAGGCGCCTGCATCACCAAGGAGTAAGATCGAGTGAGATTACTGATCCGCATAGCTGATTGAAGCTCGTAGTCAACTGAAGATTACAGTAGAGTGAAGCTGCCGGCCTGCATAGCCGAGTGAAGCTTGCAGTCGAGTGAACACTGAGAATTTTTTTCTGAAACATTGTAGATTGCTATAGAAGGCAAAGCCACATACGCAGATAGATTATTCGACACCTAGACAGGAAAAAGAATAGAGTTTGGGGCCACTTCGCAAGGGAGTGCGCCAAGCCTCCAATGCACCGACAACAAGAACGTTACAACCCTCAATCCGGACGTCGACTGGAGCACAAAACACAAGCTCATATTGTTCAAGAAGATTCGACGTGGGAAGAATCAATGAAGACCTCTGAAATGTTTAAGGCCGCAATGATGTCGATGGATATCAACAACCATGACACTGCTAGTTGGTATTTGGACTCCGGTGCTACAAAGCACGTAACTGGGGATCCATCAAAGATGTATGAGCTGAAAACAGTCGAAGACTCTAATGTTCGATTGGCTGGTGGAACTTCACATTCAGTACTAGGCAAAAGAAATGAACTTTTCAAATCTGATGGACAAGTAAATAGGATTAGTAATGTTTTGTATGTCTCCGGAGTCACAAAGAATCTGTTATCTATAGGTAGCATCACCGACCAAGGTTGCATTGTAACATTTGGCCCGACAGTGTCAAATCGTGAGCGCTTTGGATCCATCAAAAATCATCGCACGAGGAAGTAGAGACCCCGTCAACGGCTTATACAGGTTAGATTCTGATTGCCTAGAGACTCATATATGCGCTGTTGTTGAACAAGATCCAGTGAACCTGTGGTATTCGAGATTGGGCCATGTTAACTTCAGTATCCTACGGGAGATGTCAACAGTGGTAGAAGGGCTTCCTCAACTTCCAAACCATGAGAGACCATGTTCACACTGCATGGAAGGGAAGCGCAGGAGGGCCAACATTCCAAAGAGATCAACAAATCGAGCCACGCAGAGAATCAAAACCATACATTCGGATCTCTGAGGGTCAATGCCGAAGCAATCCTTATCAGGATCAAAGTTTTTCATGACATTCACTGATGATCATTCAAAGAAAACGTGGACATATTTCTTGAAGGCGAAATCAGAAGCTCAAAATTTTTAGAGCCATGATCAAGAATGCAACAAATGATCGAACCAAAATCATCAGGACGGACCGAGGGGGGAGTTCACATCGAGGGAGTTCGAAGCATACTGCACCAGTAACGGCATTGTTCACGAAAAAACTCAAGCTTACACACCGCACCAAAAAGGTGTTGGGGAGCGTAAGAACAGAACTCCTCGAGCGAGCAAGAAGTATGGCTTTCGCAAGTAAGGCACCTGCATACCTCTGGTTGGAGGCGATCAACGCAGCCAAGTATTTGATCAATCGTTGTCCCTCAGGCAGCTACAGCGACATTACTCCAGAAGAGAAGTACACTGGTATTAGACCCTCAGTCAACCATCTCAAGACCTTCGGGTCATTAGAATATGTTCACATCCCTCAACAACAAAGAAACAAAATGCAACCCAAATCAAATCGCTGTTTTTTCTTATGTTAGAATCAAGTTAAAAAGGGATACCGGTTATTCAACCTGAGAACGGTTATGCACTAAGACGGTTATGGACTAAAAGAATAAAGACCATTAAAGATGTCATGTTTGACAAAAAAATTCTAGGCATTGATTAGATCATGGTGTGAACTAAAATAAGCCCCCACTAGTTAGAAGTCTATCCCAATTGACAACAATTTAATTTTCTAATAATTCTATTATTTTTTGGTTATCATTCCATTTGTATCCAATAATTCCAATAATTTTTAAAGTGTGAGCTAAATAAATCCTTCTAGTAGGTGATTAATTTTAATTCAAAACTATTATTTAATTATAATATGATTAAATAAAATGCCCTTTTACTTCTTACTACAAGATTTTTAAATTCTCTAACTAATTAGATTTTACACTCACACATCAACAACAATAATGCAAGCCACTTTACAATACAAAAAACCACACTTAAAAGAAAATTTTTATATGAATTTATTTTATTTTAATATTTTTTACTTTATTTTATTTTTATCTAGTAATAAAAATCATCCAAAATTAGAATTAATCCAAAATAAATTCTCATTGGATGTCATGTAATAACATAACTATTATGTGAAAGAAAAAAATATATTATTTTATTATAGATGAGTCTAGTAGAAAGATATTATAGAAAAATAATGATAAATAATAGGAAGATGGGAAAAACTTTTGTCTTAATGCTATATTTTATAGAAAAGACTTCTATTTACTTTGTAGAAGCATAAATGAACCAAATTAAAGCAAATGAGATAAATAATTCATATAAGCATATTTAGAAGAAGGTTAAGAATAGTTTTTAGCAAAAATTATGTCAAAATATAAAGAATTGATACTCAGAGAGAACTAGTTAAAAACTAAGATTGAAATCACTCTCAAGGCACAAAATTGCATAACAATGGCAACTTTGGAGTTCTTTGGTTGATTAAAGAATGAGATTTGAAAATAGACATAAGTAGGGTTCTTTGAGCATTAATTTTAAGTGATTTGAATACATAACAACTTCATGAAGGCTTTATAAAGTTAGGATTATTTTCAAGTGACTTTGGATTTCAAGAAATTCAAAGAGTTTATATTATGGATAATTATGAAAAATTTGTAGATAATCTATAAGTGATTTTTTTTGATTAAGTGGTTATTATTGTATATAATTTATATTCCAAGTTTGAACTTGATTTAACAATTTATTCAAAATTTATTGAAGCTCAAATATATTGAGGACTTGAGAGTTGGGATTTAGAAGACAAGTGAGGGTTTCTAAGATATTTGTCAATTTGCTAGTTAGATTGAAATAAAATTTTACATACAAGTAGTAAATTTGACTTTAAAAAATTATGGAAAGTTTAAAAGCTATTGAATGATGAAATTAAGAGATTCTGGCTCTAAAATATCAGCATCAAGGTTAAAGAAGGAAGCCGGCCAACACCTAAGTATATTTTAGAGATTATCTTCTATTTAATATATTCGATTTTTTTTCAATTTTTTTATGCTTAATTAATAAAAAATTTAAATTTTTTGAATTAAAGTCAATTTGTTGTAGGCTTTAGGATTTGTTTAGGACTTGGTTAGGATTCATTAGAATTTGATTAGAATTTGGTTTAGGATTTGGTTAGAATTTAGGATTTATTTAAGACTTGGTTAGAGTTGGTTTAAGACTTTATTAGGATTTGGTTAGGATTTGTTTTAGGATTTGATTAGAATTTTTTTAAGATTTTATTAGGATTAGTTTAGGATTTCATTAGTATTTTTTTAAGCATTACATTAGGATTTGGTTAGGATTCAATTACAATTTCCACTTTTGATATTTTTTTAAAGATTTCTTTGTTATTTCTTTAGGATTTTTTTAATATATATATATATATATATATATATATTTAAGGTTAATTTATGATTTCTTTATGTTTCTTTTGTAAGTTCTTTAAGAATCTTTTGGAACTTAATTAAAGATTGATTAGCATTGTTATAATTTAATTGGAGTTTTTTTTAGGATTCTAATAGAGTTTTTAGGATCTTCTTGTTGCAAGTTCCATTTTACCTTCCATAGCTAGGTGCTTGATGCATTCTCAAACAAACTTCAT